GAGGGACATCTGAAACTTAGCTGTCTTTTGACCCCAGTATCCTCTAAATTGTAAATGCACTTTGTTCCACAGTTGGTAACCATAGTGCCTTCTATTATAAGCATAGTTTAAAAGCTATATGTGTTTTTGCCTGATGCTGGCCGCTCACACCTGTAATCCTAGCTACTCTGGAGGCTAAGATTTGAGGATCATGGTTCACAGTCAGCCTAGGCAAGAAAATCTGAGACTCATCTCCAATTAACTAACTCCCCCCCCCCCCCAAAAAAAAGCCTTGAGCAAAAAAGCTCAGTGCCACGCCGACTCCAGTGGAGTCTGCTTAGCATGGGAAACCATCTATCAGACCAAGATAGGGGCTTCAGAGACCTATCTCTGAGTTTTGGGACTTCACCGAAGTCTACCTCAGAGAATGGGGCTTTACAGAAACCTATCTCCAAGTTTTGGGACTTCACTGAAGTCTACCTCGGAGAATAGGGCTTCTAAGAGGCCTACTCCTGGAAAAAGGCTGGCAAGCCCCTGGGAAAGATGTGTTTCTGCCTTTCTTTTCCTCACTGTATAAGAGTGCCTATTAATCTTTTACTGTTTCTGCTGCTCATTGTGATTACTCATTGTCAACGTTCCCTTATTCAAAGCTCTTTCTTAAGAGTGTTGACGACTCCAATATCTGATGAATGTCTCAAAAATATGACTAACTCACCAGAGTTAAGTGCTACCCTGCAACCCCTCTTATGAAGGCTAGTAGACAAGTTATAAGCAAATATAAAAGTATTGGGGGTTTCACAAAGTCACTCCAGCAGAAGGAATTGTAAGAAATTTACAAGAAGCTGTAGGCGCGGCTAGAACAGAAGGAATGTATGGCAATTGCTGAGATAACTACTTAGGAGAAAGAACTTCCTGGTACTCTCATTTACTGAGACTTGCTAGATCTAGGCCTCCGTGACCTTACTATAAAGAAGGAACAGGAAAAATCTTATGGGATAATTAAGGCCTCTATAGAAATAAGGTAATGGTTAGTTGGTGACAAACGTCGAAACCCATTATATTTCTTAGAGATAAGCCGGAAACAAGTGCCTTTCAGGCGACCAGCTGGTGACCACCTAAGAATGAAGCCCTGCAGCAAGATTGTGTAAACTTTTGCCCTTTCAGGCGACCAGCTGGTGACCATCCAAGAACGAAGCCTTGCAGCAAGATTGTGTAACCTTTTGCCCCTTTCTTATGAAGACTTCTGTTATAAAAGTTTGTTATCCTCTGCATTAAATCGCACTCAGCACTCAGCATCCACTCCTAATGTGTGTGAGTTGTCTGTTTGCCATCTCCCCATCCTATTCCAGGTTCCTCCCGTAGGTATCCTCCGTCGTCCCGACAGAACCCGGTCCGCGGCAGCTCAGGCCCTGAGTTCAAGCCCCATGACTGGCACAAAAAAAAAGCTTTTGACACATGGAGAAGATTAAGGGTTTATCCAGTGTTTTCAGAGGCAGAGAATGTGGTAGTCTTTGGATTACAAATGAACTCCATGCTCTATTTTTGATACAACTGATTTTTTTTTTTTTTTTTTGGGGTCCGGTTGTGGGGCCTGAACTCTGGGCCTGGGCACTGTCCCTCAGCTCTTCAGCTCAAGGCTAGCACTCTACCACTTGAGCCACAGCGCCACTTCCGGCTTTTTTTTCTTTTTGCTATGTGGTGCTGAGGAATTGAACCCAGGGCCTCATGCATTGCAAGGCAAGCGCTCTACCACTGAGCCACCTTCCCAGCCCACAACTGATTTTCTTATATATCTTCTTTTTTTTTTTTGTCAGTCATGGGGCTTGAACTGAGGGCCTGGCACTGTCCCTGAGCTCTTCCACTCAGGGCAAGCACTCTACCACTGGAGCCACAGCTCCACTTCCGGTTTTCTGGTTGTTTATTGGAGATGAGAGTCTCATGGTCTTTCCTGCGTGGGCTGGCTTTGAACTGCAATCCTCAGATCTCAGACTCCTGAGTGGCTAGGATTAAAGGCATGAGCCACAGGCACCTGGCATATCTTTTTTTTTTTTGAGACTATCAATTCCCAGTAGAATTTATGTCCCTATATAGGATCTTAAAATCCAACTATAAAAAAGGAATGTGTTCATTTGTCCTGAAATAACAATACTACAGATTGTGTGGTATGAGCAAGGGATATTTACTTTTACAGTTCTGGGGGTTGGAAAGGCCCAGATCAAGGTGCTTGTAGATTCTGTGTCTAGCTCTTGTCTGTGTCAACCCTCTTGAATCCTTACACAGAAGCAGCTGCAGTTGCCTGAGTCCCTTGTAACTGCACAGCTCCTTCAGGACCTCTGAAGTACATGTTTAAAATATCCAATGGCTTTGCCATGAGTCTTGATAATGATTTTTACACTAGTGAACCTTATAAACCTTTTGAAAAAAATAGAATCTCTAAGCTGGGCGCCAGTGGCTCACACCTGTAATCCTAGCTACACAGGAGGCTGAGATGTGAGGATCATGGTTCAAAGTCAGCCCGGGCAGGAAAGTCCATGAGACTCTTAACTCCAATAAACCACCAGAAAATCGGAAGTGACACTGTAGCACAAGTGGTAGAGTGCTTGCCTTGAGCTGAAGAGCTCAAGGACAGCGTTTAGGCCCAGAGTTCCAGCCCCATGACTGCCAAAAAATAGAATAGCTAGACAGATCAAGCTTGGTGATCAATGTGGGGCAAATATCTTAGCCACATGCTCCTCTTATACTAACATGTATATATGCACACACACCCAATCCAATGATTTTTAGTGTATTTGTATAGTCGGAACATTTTTTGTTTTTTGGGTCCAGTCATGGGCCTGAGCGCTGTCCCTCAGCTCTTCAGCTCAAGGCTAGCACTCTACCACTTGAGCCATAGCACCACTTCGGCTTTTTTTTCTGGTTATGTGGTGCTAAGGAATCGAACTCAGGGCCTCATGCATGCAAAGCAAGCGCTCTACCACTGAGCCATCTTCCCAGCCCTAGTCGGAACATTTTTTATCACTTCCTCCTACCATACCCAAACACACACTGTAAAAAGAATTGTCTACCTAGGTCAGCATTCTCTCCCTAAAGCAACCTCCTGACTTCTTTGGTAAGTTTTTTTGTGTGTGTGTGTGCCTTTCCTGGGGCTTGAACTCAGTGCCTGGGCATGGTCCCTGAGGTATTTTGCTCAAGGCTAGAATTCTATTTGAGTCACAGCTCCTTTTGTGGCTTTTGTGGGGTAGTTTATTGGAAATGAGTCTCACAGCCTTTCCTGCCCTGGGCTGCCTTTGAACCTAGATCCTCAGATCTAAGCCTCTCAAGAGGATTACAGGTAGCTAGGATAACCGGTGTGAACCACCTGTAATAAATTTCTGTATTGTTCACCCTTTCAAGTCCTCCCTCCCTCCACCTCCGACTGGGGACAGGTATGTAGTCCAGGCTGGCCCAAACTCACAATCCTTCTGCCTCAGCTTCCTGAGTGCTGGGATTACATTTTGTGTGCCACCATTAACTGTCTATAAGTATCACTTGTTATTGTTTTCTCCTTCTAACAATTGAACTTGCATACAGTTACCTATCTTTGGGATTTGTTGTGTATTCATGGTACAGTTCATGTTTCCTTCCCTCCCTCCTTCCTTTTCTTCTCCTACCTTCCCTTCCTCTCTGCATTCCTCCCTATCTTCTTCCTTTGTTCTTCTATCCCTCTTTTCCTTCTCTTTTTTTTGTTTTGATAAGGACCAGGACTTAAGCTTTATTTCTGACCACTTTCATTCATTGATGGGCCCTCTCTCTCTATCAGTTGAGTAATAACTTTCAACTGCTTATCCTTTTTTATTAGCTCAGGCTGGCCCTGAACTTGTGAACCTCCTATCTTAGCCTCCCAAGTACTGGGATTATAAGTATGAGCCACTATGCCAGGACAGATCAGTATTTTTAGTATAGAAAAGCAATCAGATAGTTTCTAAATTTATAAAAAGCAGATTTTTCTTGAATATGTATTTCCATATTCATTTTCCAGCTTCAATACATTCTAATCATCTGGAATATTTGGAAAAGAATCCTAATATTTGGGCTCCCTCACAGACCAATTAAGTTGGAATTTCTAGGGACAGGGATTAGGCTTTGATTCCTTACTTATGATAGAGAAAATAAAGCTATATGAACACTTATCTATTTTTTTTTTTTTTTTGGTCAGTAGTGGGTATTCTCCCTGAGCTTTTTCACTCAAGGCTAGTGCTCTACCACTTTGGGCCATACTACTTCTGGTTTTCTGGTGGCTTAACTGGAGATAAGTGTCTCACAGACTTTCCCGGCTTTGAGGGGTCATCCTCAGATCTCAATCTCCTGATTAAATTACAGGTGTGAGCCACAAGCACACACTACTGGATAAATAATTATGGATTATTTCTGTCTGTGTAATCATGTCTGTCAGAAAATACTGTGTAACGTTAGAAGTCAAAATATGAGCAAGAATCCCTCCCCCATGGTGTAACACTGTTTTCACTGTATTTGATATTGGTATAATTTGGGGAGGGGAAGGGAAAAAAACAAATTGTTTAAATAGGGATACAGGTTGACCCATTGCAACAATGAAATGTACAAGATGCTATGTCGAAAAACCAACTTTATAATTTAGGCTGGGGGTGTGGATGTGGGTGTGGGTGTAGTTGAGGAGGTGGTAAGGAAGGGATGGTGGGGAAAAACAAGGAAGCAACAATAGTGGATAAGAAGTATACTCATTACCTTGCTCAGGCAACCCCTCTGGACAGTATTTTCACAATAAAAAACTTATTTAAAAAAATGAGCATGAGGGCTGGGAAGGTGGCTCAGTGGTAGAGCACTTGCCTTGCATGCTCGAGGCCCTGGGTTCGATTCCTCAGCACCACATAAGCAAAAAGAAAAAAGCCGGAAGTGGTGCTGTGGCTCAAGTGGTAGAGCGCTAGCCTTGAGCTGAAGAGCTGAGGGACAGCACCCAGGCCCAGAGTTCAGGCCCCACTACCGGACCCAAAAAAAAATGAGCATGAGAGCTACATGTGACCCTTACATGGATGTGTGGTTAGGATAATGTGATGATTAGCTTATGACTTATGTAGAGTTGAGTTTGATGATTACGGACAAAGGAGTCAACATACATACACTAAGAAGAAACAATGACTGAAGAACCTTACATCCCAGAAAATGGAATCATAGTCACTTTTCAAATTTTTTATGTTAGGTTGGCAAAGGTGAGATAGTGTTGCCCACAGTGGTCTTGAATACATGCCTTCAAGCAGGCCTCCTGCCTCAGCCTCTTGAGCAGCTGGAAATACAAGCACTTGGCCACCATACCTGGTTTCTTGTTATCAGAAATCTGCAAATAGGTAGTCTGTTTTCTACCTATTTGTAAAAGGATAGCAGAAATTTAAATGTTTATACCCTTTTCCAAGAAACTTAAAGGATCACGTATTTCATCATGGTGTTCCTCAGCCCTACCACAGAATCTGTACCAAAAGCCTGAGGACTACAGTTTACTGGCTTAAAAAAAAAGTTTAAAATGTTTGCTTTGGAAATCACAATATGTTGGCGTTGCAAGAAGAGAGCAGAGAAAAAAGAAAGGCCACTTGGGTTTGACTACTTTTACTTGAGACTTTCTCCTTCACATGAGATTCATTTGTTACATTTCTTAAATATTATTTCCAAACCATCTCATGGCATATCATTAATGCACAGGGTTCCTGTAGCTTGAAGCATGAGGAAAGGTTTTTGATATGTGAGACACTTTTAAAAATGCAGATCTAAGCATTTCATTTATAATAGAAAAGTTGTAAAAGTGCCTTAACAATACAAAGGATTAATAATTCAAATTGAGGAAACTCCTTTACATTTTGAGTGAGATGGATTAACATAATTTGTTCAAATAAACATTAACTTTCTTAAAAAAAAAGGTTCTAAACTCAGTTATATTGAAGAGCCAGTGGTAAACATATTGATTCTCTCTACAGCTCTTAGATAATAGCATGGAAGAATTTCTACATGAATCTCTATACAGGTTTTTAAAAACTTAAAACTCCATTATCAAAAAAACAAAACAAAACACCCCTCAAGCTATTGTATTTTGTCATCTTATTTATAGTTTAGACAGTTTGAAGAGATTTAAACGTGTTGCCAGGCAACTAGCTCCTGAAGCATAACGAATTTCCTTCAACATCCCAGCCCATTCTTTTTTATCATCTTCATACCTGTTGGAGGAAAACAAAAAATGAAACAACCAAAAAACAAAACAGTAAGCAGCTTTTGAATAAATAGTTGTAGAGGCGTCTCTGTGTTCTATGTACAAATATGAATGTTTGAAAAAAAATCCTATGGGCTCCTACCTAGAGGAGGAGGTAGCACCTGTCTGCTAGAATAATTCCTTTCAAAATATGCATTCTCTGAACAAGCTCATACCTGAACTATGGCCTCAGTGTTGAATCTGGATGCCTAGCAGTTCAGCCTTTTCTGGGGATCATATGTCCAGAGTTAATCATTCACCTTTGGGCTGATGACAGCTGGTCTCCAAAGAGTCAATGTAAGACTTCCTTAAGAGGAAGAACTGGGAGAAAGCAAGGACTGTAACACCCTTAATTAGGATTTCAGTTGTCTTCACACTAGTGCCTAGTGTGGCATCTGATGCAGAGTGGTCACTCCATGTACATGTGTTCTGCTGCTCCATAGTTTTGGAGACCTTCTCTCAGGCTCTGCACTTGATTTCAGGTAAGAACTGATTATCTTTTCTGAGTATTCAATATCATAATCGTACAGACAACATGAATTCCCTGGAAATGTGTCTGACATGTGTCCTTGGCCTGGTACATGGAAGGGTCTTCTATGAGAGGCTCCTAAACACTACCTTTCACTCATGTGGCTTTTTGTTCATAACTGGTGCTCTATCATTTAAGCCTTGCCTTCTGTTCTGGCTTTTTACTGGTTAACTGGTGATAAGAGTTTCATAGATTAGTCCACCTATGCTGGCTTTGTACCTTGATCCTCAGATCTCAGCCTCTTGAGATCAAGGATTTTAGGTGTGAGCCACTGGCATCTGGCCAAAAATGCAGATTCTGATTAGTAGATATGAGGTGTGGCCTGGGATTTTTCATTTTTGAAAAATGCTGTGGGATGGGAAGGGGAAACAAAGGAGGAGGAGGCTACAATGCTTGATAAGAAATGTACTCATTATCTTGCCCTTGTAATTGTAACCCCTCTGTACAGTATTTTCACAATAAAAAATAAAAATAATAATAAAAAAAGAAAAAAAAAAAGAAAAACGCTGTGTAACCTGGTATTTCAGGCTGGACTTTGCTATGTAGCTCACACTGGCTTCAAACTAAATCCTCCTGTAACTACTTCCCAATATTGGGATTATAGGTATATACCACGATGTCCAACTGGGATTCTACTCTCTCTCTGTGTGTGTGTGTGTGTGTGTGTGTGTGTATGTGTGTGTGTGTGCGCGCGCGCACATGCTGGCTGGTCCTAGGATTTGAACTCTGCCTGGGCACTGTCCCTGAGCTGTTTTGCTCAAGGATAGCACTCTACCACTTGCAACACAGCACCACTTCTGGCTTTTTGGTGGCTAATTGAAGATAGTCTCATAAACTTTCCTGCCCACGCTGACTTTGAACTGGGATCCTCAGATCTCAGCTTCCTGAGTAGCTAGGATTATAGGTGTGAGCCACTGGCATGTGGCCTAGATACGCTTTTATAGCAGCACCTAGGAGATGCTAGTGATGCTGGGCAGCAAGGCCTCAGGTAAACTAACAGTAGCTAGGTAAATGGAGGTGGAGGCTTGCAAGTTGCTTCTGGCCTTTAAGCAGACAACAGAAAGCATGAGTATGGCAGTTTCTGGTAAGTGTGCAGCATAACTCACTTAGGCTCACCTTGGGCAGCTGAGTTCTACCTCATATAAGTTAGATACGTATGCATAGAGCTTGGCCTGAAAACAGCAGGGACCACAGGCAGATATGTGTAATGTCCTCTTGGTACCATACCCTGCTTAAAACTATAAAGATCTATAACACAAACTTCTGCTCCTGACACAGCCTGGATATATCTAGCTGTCCACAGGATATTAACTGCATAAGATACTAAGGTAAAATATGTTTTCTGCTCTTTCAAAATTACTGCTTTGACTAGAATAGTGCAATTGAATAACAGTTTGCAAATGTTATATATACCTCTCTGGAAGATAAAATGGATTGCTACTTTCATTTTTTCTTTTTGTTCATTGAGTCCTCAACTAGAATAAACTAGATTTGAAATAGATTTAGTAAATCAATGGTAAAATCTGGAAGTTAAATGTTTCCTAAGAGCTGTATTTTCTGGAGTTATGGGTCACACAGTATCATACCTGACAGGAGCAAACAGGCCAAGTGAAACCATAGAACTGATCCTAGGGCTTTAATTCAGTGGGTACTGTCCCTGCTCAAAGCTAGCACTCTACCACTTGAGCCACAGCTCCACTTCTGGCTTTTTGGTGGTTAATGGGAGATAAGAGTGTCACAGATTTTCCTGCCTGATCTGGGTTTGAACTGTGATCTCAGATCTCAGCCTCCTGAATATCTAGGATTATGGATGTGAGATACTGACATCCAGCCAGAACCGTTTTTTTTTAAGGAAATAAACTATACTCTAGTGAAAAATAAATTAGTTGTTCTGAATACTTGACATATTACCCTTTGAGAGCTGAAATAGGGCTTAAAGGCTCAACCATCCTTCCTTTATCTACAGAAAAAGAAAGGGGCTCCAATAAGGTCTTTCCCGGGTTGACAGCTAATTAGCAGTGGTACATCAAGAATACTTACTTGTTCCAAGGTTAGTGTTTAGTCTACTATCAAAAGTAGCTTGCAATATTGGCCAAGTCTGGTTTATTATTTACTACAAAAATGGTCATCAGTTACCAGTTAGCTGATTTAATATTGGGCCCCAAAAGTTGGAATAAGAGAACTTACTTCCAAATGTCATTGACTTCAGTGGGTGCAAACTCTTTATTTTCCAGTTGAATCATAGCAAAACCACCAATGGCATACAGGGATCCAGCCAGGCTGACCAAACTGATGGAGCTTCTTTCTTGAGGAAATTCAGTCATTACTTCCCACCTGCATATTTTATTGAAAATAAAATTAATGTAAAACTTAAATGAATGCTAAAAGTATTTACTGAACAGTTATGGGAAATTATCATTTAAATGTGCGTGTGTTTTTTTTAATGTGTGTATGTGGTGCTGTGGGACTTGAATTTAGGGCCTCCTGTGGTTTTACCATATGAGCCACACTTCCAGCCCAGGCAATTATAAGTTCAAATTTACTCAGTGTAGTGCTCAAATTTTTTCTTCATTATGGAACTATGATTATAAAAATTATGTACTCAATTGTATATGTAACTCAAAAAATTTAAAATTTTATCTAACAGTATCTTTTCAAGTAATATTTTACATTAACCAAGGCAATAGATGCTTAAAAATGAAAATTAAGATAATTACAGACTGGGGCTGGGAAGATGGCTCAGTGGTAGAACGCTTGCCTTGCATGCATGAGGCTCTGGGTTCGATTCCTTAGCACCACATAAGCAGAAAAAAAAAAAAGCTGGAAGTGGCACTATGGTTCAAGTGGTAGAGTGTTAGCCTTGAGCTGAAGAGCTGAGGGACAGCACCCAGGCCCAGAGTTCAGGCCCATGACCGGACCCCAAAAAAAAAAAATTACAGAGCACAAAGGAATTAAACTTATAAAGCATTCATGTTTTACAAATGCCAGTTACTGACAAGTACAGATCTTTTTATCTTATTATTATAACTGCTATTTTGCTTGTGTGTATGTCAGTACTGGGTCTTGAACTCAGGGTCTGAATATTGTCCTTGAATTTTTTGCTCTGGGCTAACACTCTACCACTTAAACCACAGCTCCACTTCAGACGTGTGTGTGTGTGTGTGTGTGTGTGTGTGTGTGTGTGTGTGTGTGTGTGTGTGTGTGTGTGTGTACCACTTAAACCACAGCTCCACTTCAGACGTGTGCGTGTGTGTGTGTACCACTTAAACTACAGCTCCACTTCGGACGTGTGTGTGTGTGTGTGTGTACCACGTAAACCACAGCTCCACTTCGGACGTGTGTGTGTGTGTGTGTGTGTGTGTGTGTGTGTGTGTGTGTGTGTGTCTCATGGACTTTGCTTGTTAGGCTGTCTTCAAACCTCAGATCTCAGCCTCCTGAGTAGCTAGGATTACAGGTGTGAGTCACTGGTACCTGATTAGATCTTTTCATCTTGAAGGTCTTTTAAATCTTTCATCTGTTATATCTTTTCATATTCTAAGTCAAATAACTCTTAGAGACACATTTATCCATCTACACATGTACAATTACTCACAAGTATTACATTTGAAGGACTAAATGTACCAAGTTAATAATAAGAACAAACAGAGCCTGCCAACAGTAACTTGATGGCTACATATTCCAAATTACAAACAGAGGTATCACACCACAAAGGAGTTTTTACCCTAGAAGAAACCCAGAGGAACATGCTTCCTCTTTCATCTATACCTTCTTCCTGCCTTCCCCTTCCCAGGGCTCAATCAGAGAGCTTAGTTTCTACCCAGATGTAAACAAAAAAAAAATACAGCAATTCACATGTACTAGAGCAAGGCAACTCACTTATTGCTTTTGAGGTCAAAAGCTTCAACTGAAGCTGAAAGGCCATCTTCAGTGACACCTCCTGCAATTACAATTTTGCCTTTGTGGACAGCCACACCAAACATGGAACGAGGGGTCTTCATTGGAGCCAGATCTTTCCAGTCTCCTTTTTTTGGGTTGTAGATGAACATCCTATTTGTACATTTTCTGTAAACACAGGAGACAATAAATGTTATTTTAGAACTTTATTTTTTGAAAGCTACTTCATTCATAATTTTGGCTTTGCTGCTGCTGCTGCTGCTGCTGCTTCTGAACTCTGGGCCTGGGTCCTGTCCCTCAGCTCTTCAGCTCAAGGCTAGTGCTCTATCACTTGAACCATACCACCACTTCTGACTTTTTCTGCTTATGTGGTGCTAAGGAATCAAACTCAGGGCCTTATGCATGCAAGGCAAGCACTCTACCACTAAACCATCTTCTCAACCCCTAGCTTTGCTTCTTAGACAATATAAAACTTCATTTTCAGAAAGCTGGCACTTTAGATGAGCTAAATGCTAGCCAAAAGGTCGGGTTCACCTAATTTATTCTAGGTATGTTCCTGAAATGAATCTATAACTGCATGATAGGATGATTCCCAATCCTATTAACTGGAAACATTTGTATCCATGCCAGTATCAAAAAATGAAAGGAACCCTCCACCTAAATTTCTTGAGATAATTTTTTTCTTAATCTTATTTAAAAAAAAACTCCACCAGATATCTGCAGTAGAAATATTTTCTCTAATATTTGACTATAGGTATCACTGGAAAATTTGGTAAGTGTATGATGTAAAATTATATTCTTCAAATTCACTGCTGGTAACTAATGCAGTTCAACTCTTGCTTTTACTTGCACTCTACCACTGAGCTACAGCTCTAGTCTGGGCCTTTACTTTTAGATAATGACTCATTTTGGAGTTCTTGACTTTGACATTTGTTAAGCAATGTTGTCTAGTTAATCGTGTTCTTAAGATGAATGTATTCTTACAAAACTTGTATGCTTCTTACTGACATATCAATTTCCTAGTTACTAATGTTGCTTGAAGGAAACAATTTAAATAATTTGGAAGATGCCCAACGATTCCCAAATAGGAATATACTTATCAGTAGTTTTATTCCATTTACCAAGGGAAAATACGCCAAATAAGATTTGGCACAGCTTAAGTCTCTATTGTTTTAGTTTTTGAGACACGGTCTTGACATGTAGCTTCAGTTGGCCTTAAACTCACTATGAAGCCCAGATTGTCCTAAACTCTCAATCTTCCTGTTTTAGTCTTCCAAATGCTAGGATAACATGTGGGAACCACCAGACTTTCTTTTAAATATTCATTTGATGCAAACAGCAAAGATAAAAATATTTCAGAATATATTACCTTAGAATATAGAGTACATGAAAATTATTGCTTTAGACATTTTATATACTATATTTATCATTTTAATTAGTAGCCACTTAAATATATATATATATTTTTTTTTTTTTGTCAGTTGTGGGGCTTGACCTCTGGGCTTAGGCGCTTTCCCTCAGCTCTTCAGCTCAAGGTGAGTGGCTCTACCGCTTGAGCCACAGCGCCACTTCTGGTTTTCTAGTGGTTTATTGGAGATAAGAGTCTCACAGACTTTCCTGCCCAGGCTGGCTTTGAACTGCGATCCTCAGATCTCAGCCTCTTGAGTAGCTAGGATTACAGGCGTGAGCCGCTGACGCCTGGCTAATAGCCACTAATATTAACTAGATAATTTTCTACTTTTAACACACAGTTTTTTGTTTGTTTGTTTTACTTTTAACACTTTTTTTCTTTTCTTTTTTTTTTTTTTTTGCCAGTCGTGGGGCTTGAACTCTGGGCCTGGGCACTGTCCCTTAGCTCTTCAGCTCAAGGCTAGCGCTCTACCACTTGAGCCACAGTGCCACTTCTGACTTTTTCTGTTCATGTGGTGCTGAGGACTCGAACCCAGGGCCTCGTGCATGTGAAGCAAGCACTTTACCACTGAGCCACCTTCCCAGCCCCTTAACACATTTTCATATTTTACTCTTTCCTGCTATGCTCTTATAGTTCTTGTTGTTTGAGATGAGGTCTTCCTATGTTGCTCAGGCCAATTTTGAATCTCTGGGCTAAAATGATTCTCCTTTATTAGCTTCTAAAGTAACTGGGCCCATAAGCACATGCCACTGAATGCTTACAATTTGTTATTTAGGTTTCTTTTCCAGGAGTGGAGAGGAAGTTAACATCTGGATTAATTAAACAGTCTAAGCAAATGAAATCAGAGTTTCAGGAGAAAAAGCTTAATTTCTTTTAAAAATTATTTGTATATTTAAATTGTACAAAATAACTTTCATTTTTTTCTGTGTGTATGTGTGTGTGTGTGCATGTGCGTACATGCACACAGGAAAAGAAGAAGAGACCCTTCTGTGTACTGAAAACTCACTTGGACATAAATCACAAGGATGTTTCAGGCACTTACTTGTCATCTGTCTTTCCACCAAGACAATATATCATGCCATTATGTGAAATAACATTATGGCCGTAAACTTTGATAGGAAGATGTTTTACTTCATTCCATTTTGCAGCTCTGAAATGAGATGACAGAATTTATGGTTTCAGTAAGTTTGAAAATACTAATTTGCTTTCGGTATTTGTTCCTTAGGGAACAGGAATGTCATACCAACTTACACAGGATCATAACACAATACTGAATCCAGCGAAGCCTCTGTTTGAAGATCTTTGCCTGCAACTACATAGATTTTGTCATCTACTTCTCCCAGACCGAAGAGACACCTGGCTGATGGGAGAGGCGGAAGCCCAACCCACTCAGATGATATGTTGTCAAGCTGAAAAAAAATACATGAAGAATTGTGATACTTAGTAGAAAAAAGTTAGGGCCACAACAATGACTATGCTATACATGATGTGTTTAAAACACATTGAGAGTCAAAGATCTCACAAGTAAAATCAACAATCTCAAAGTATGTTTTTGGTTGAAAGTACCAGGAAGAATGAGAAAATCAACTTTACCTGCCAAATAAAGTACCAAAACATTCAAGACTTCAAAAATGGAATGAGAATAAAATAGAAGCTCCAGGGATTAGTTAGAACTGTGAGGTTTCTTGTTTTTTCTCGTGTCCATCTTTGAAATGAGGCATGTTAATATTCTTTAGACACTAGGAAAAGACAGGTGGCCACAGCAGGGAGGGTCAGGTATGTGAATGACCCCCGAGAGCTATTTTTAACATGCTCCTCAAGCCTTAGCCTGACAGCTGGACCTGTCGCTCAGGCCCCAGACAACTGGGAAGCTTAGGCAATGCCATTTTTCATTCTTTTTTTATTTTTTATTTTGTTTTGTCATTCTTTTTTTTCTATTTCTTTTCTTTTTATTGTGAACATACTGTACAGAGGGGTTACAATTACATGGGCAAGATAATGAGTACATTTCCTATCAAGCATTGTACTCTCCTCCTTTGTTTACCCTTCACATCCCTTCCCAGCCTCCCCTCGCCGCCCCCATTTTTCATTCTTGTCTTTAAAATTTTAATTGCAAAGATGATGTACAGAGGGATTATATTACATAAATAAGGTAATGAGTACATTTCTTGTTGTATAGTATTACCCCCTTTCTTTTCTCCCATCTTCCCTCTCTCCTGACTCTTCTACCCAAGTTGTAAAGTTCATTTCTAACATAGTGTCTTATGAGTATCACTGTTGCATTTGTTCACCCTTTGTCCTTTGTCTCACCATTTTGTTTTCCCCTTCTCTTCCTCAAATCAGATAAATGTATATACAAGACACAGGGTACCAAAATGAGAAGCAGTGACAACAGGGGATAAAACAAAGGGGAGGGGAGATGAATAAAAAATAACTTCACACACAAAAAAAACACATTAAAAACAAAACAAAAAACCTGTTTCCATTTCTTGGGGTTCATTTTGATTAGCATCATTTTGTGTGGTCATATGTACAGAGCTATTGAGCTTTTCTGCTCATCTGATAAGATTATCCTAGACATATACTAATTATTACAAATGAGGGAAACCATGGAGCCTATGTTTCTTTGGGTCTGGCTTACTTCACTTCATATGATTTTTTTCCAAGTCTTTCCATTTCCTTACGATTGGGTTGATGTCATTCTTTCTGGTGGAAGCATAGAATTCCATTGTGTATACATTTTCTTGATCCTCATTTTCATTCTTTCAGACATTTTTAGGATAAGTTTTGCTAAGTTTTGCTTGCTTTATTATTTTGGGAACAGACAGGTATTGATGTTGGCTTCCTAGTTTTTTGGAGAAGTCATATAAAATATCCTTCTCTTTTTTTCTCTCTCTCTCTTTTATATTAAGAAGAAACTTTCTTTGTTTTGTTACAATTGCTGCAAGCCTGCTATGGCCCTGCTAGAATCCATGCTCTAAATAGGTGGCTCTCACATAGACAGCATCCAGCACTTAACAATTTACAGTCTTAAGATTTTTCTACTTTGCATTTTAGGATAGTAAGGCACATGGAAATGGTTTCTGAGGAAGTGCTGCTGCAGCTGTTGTTCTAGATAGCAGAAGAAAAACATGTAAAGCTGAGATTCATTGGATACTAAGCATGGCTTTGAATAGAAAAGCTGGACAGGAATGTGTATGTGGAAGCTTCTCTAGATATGATCTTGTATCCTCAATTAAACAAACACTAAATCCAGAAAACACAGCATGAGTTTTAATCCCTGCCATGCACTAGTGTCACCATCTAGATCATGGTCCCTAATGTTTTCTTTTTTGAAAAAAAGTGCCTGAGGTATATGTTCTCATACTGTACCATATGGTTTCCCTTCCCATATTACCCTTATTCTGCTCTTTGCATAGTAGATGGAATGGTGCAGTGCTCAGGGATTGGGCCCTGTCCTTGAGCCTTTTTGCTCAAGGCTAGCATTCTAACACTTAAGCCACAGTTCCACTCCCAGCTTTTTGATGGTTAATAAGAGTATTAAGGACTTTCTTGCCTACATGAGCTTACAACTAGGATCCTCAGATCTCAGCATCCTAAGTGGCTAGGATTATGGTGCGTGTGAGCCACCAGTGTCAGAACAAGCCTCTTTCACAAACAGATAAGCTACCAATACTTGTTTCTCTTCAGCACATCTTTTTTTTTTTAGTTGGTCATGGGGCCTGAACTCTGGGCTTGGGCACTGTCCCTCAGCTCTTCAGCTCAAGGCTAGTGTTCTACCACTTGAACCACAGTGCCACTTCTGGCTTTTTCTGCTGATGTGGTACTGAAGAATCGAACCCAGGGCCTCATGCATGCAAGGCAAGCACTCTACCACTGAGCCACCTTCCCAACCATTCAGCACATCTTTTAGTAAAGACAAGCTTTCATATTTTTAAACCTCTCTTGGTTCTACTTTCTTCTTGATAAAAATTAGGCTTTGGACCTAGATCATTCAAAATCTGCAAAACTGAATCTATTTCTCCCATGGAAGAAGGAAAATAAGCTCTTTTATTAAGTAAAAAAGTTCTCTAATCTACTTGCAGTATACAACCAAATACTACATTACTTCTAAATTAATAATTCTAAGTATGTATAACCAAACAAAAAAAACACCTTGAAATTCTCATACAAATATTTTCTGGTGAGTCACACCCTCTTTTATGGTCAGATGTTTTAATCCTGGCATCTTGTTCTACCATTTGTGCTTTTTAAAAGTGGCAAGGTATGGGTAGTGACGGGGAGTTTACCTTCTAACTTTGTATAATTGCTTTAGGAGCTTTAATAAACATTCAGCAGGTTTCTTGAACCAGACAGAAATAAGCAGCCATGTCTGTAAGGGTAGTAATAGAATGGAAGAGGATAAAGATTAAACTGAGCACCTGAAACTAAATGGCTGGGCTATAGATATGTTTAACTCTACTTGTTTATGTGGTAGTGAGGGTCAAACCCAAGGCCTTGTGCATGCTAACTGCACACTACCAGTTAGCTATATACCAGGCCCTATGTTCAATAAGCTAAATATAAAGTGGATTAAAGGCTCCAAAAGTTTGGAGAAATTATTGTATGGCTATCATTATTCTGAGGATCTGTTATCTATCTGTCTGCCTATCTGTGGTCTGTGTTTTCATTTTTCTTATTATTTCCTGTAGGTATTTATATGTTTTTCATGGAATATAACCTTTCTGAAGTTAATCTAAATTTAAAATTAGTGCTTAGGAAAATTTCTGGCCCATACCAAAAACTTATTTTCCAGTGAGAATTTAAAATTGAAGAAACATGACTGTATTTATGATGACATTTTTAAATATAGGATTTTTGAGTGTATGTCATACACTATGAGAGCATATTATGACTATGGTATGACATTCTACACTTGCTTATCTTTGTCCTTTCCAGTCCAAGTGTCTGTAAACCCCAGGCCATGATTAGCTATGACCTAAACAAACTCTTTGAGCTAGTCGTAGTTATAAAGGATTGCCACTGATGTTGCTGGATATAAAGTTTGAATTACTGATTCCTTCATAAATTCATAAGTTATAATGCACTAATAATATGAAGTTAACTCCCTATAAACAAACTACAAAGAGTCTACTAGTTTAGATGAACTTGTTTTCCTACAAATGTTTATGGTTACACAAAACAGATTACTAAGTTACAATGATGTCTAACTATAGCACTGATACAAGTAAATATGAAAATATAAACAAAACCATCTTAATATAGTGACATTCATAAAGGTTTTTTCCTACAATTCAAAATATATGGAATATGTACACAACTCCTTTTTAATTTTCAACAAAATTATGTTTTAGATGGTAACTATAAGTAAAGATGAAATTCTACCTTCTAAGAACTTCAAAGGAAAAAAGAAAATCTAGAGAAAAAAATAGAAAAATATGATCTATACAATAAGTATAGATGGTAACTATAAGTAAAGATGAAATTCTACCTTCTAAGAACTTCAAAGGAAAAAAGAAAATCTAGAGAAAAAAATAGAAAAATATGATCTATACAATAAGTAACTTTCATTGAAGGAAAGATCTTTATTTTTCAGGAAACAATGTATACGATTATGAATTATTTTTACTAAAATATTGAGCTTTGAATGATTACAAAATCACCATCAACTTGAAACATGACATTTGGGGTAAAAGGATGTTAATGACTTAAATATTAATAAGAATCCTTGTACACTATACTTTTTGTTAAAGCTTAACAAGCAGTTGAATATTTCTGTCCACCCTCTAAGCAGAAAAATGCAATGGAGTCCAATAGGACACCTATTAGAATAAAATGCAAGAGGCCTGAATAATTCACAAATGACTAAAAGCTAACTGGATGGCAACAGCCTTCTCTTACACCTCTACTTACATAGAAATAGTTGTCCTTACCTGGAAAAAGTATGACTGTAGAGGTTGATCCTTATTTTCTTCATCTACATATAGTCCTCCTACCACATACACCTGATTTTGTTGGGTAACAATGCTGGAATGATTTCTGGGGATCTGCTCAGCCAGTGCAGTAAGGTAGCATTCATTTTCTGTGGGATCATAAGCCACTGCAGCTGTGTCGTTAACCAAGAGTATGAGGTCTTTGACAAACATTCCATGCCTGGGAATGTCATTCAGGTAACCAGGAAGTAAGTCTTCATCACCAATATCCCCATTCACCTCACCAGTCTCAGTCTTCTCTGCATTTTTGCTAGGTTCTGGGAGTTTACCTGTGAAAGCATCTTTTAGAACTTTGATTTTTTTCTGGAGTTCAGGGTTGCTTTTAATTATGTCATCTTTCTCAACATGATCTTTGAAATACTTTTCTGCCATAAGACGAAAACGGATGCAATCAAATACTTCGCTAAGATTTTTAGCCCTGTTTTCTTTGTCTGTTCTTACCCATTTCATCACTGCCTCAAATACCACTTCTTCCTTTTCTACATTTAGACTGTCATTCGAAATGACAGAGATCAGTTCCTGTGGAGACAGTTGCATAAAGTCCTCTTCCTTACAAATCTGCACAAAGCGATCAGACACAAATTCCCGGGCAGAAATGGCGAGTCTTGGGCAGTCTAGAAGAAGTCCTAATCTCAGGATGGCTAGACAGTTACCAGGAGCAAGTCTTTTCTGGAGATAGGACACACAGACAGTGAACACTGAGGGGATCTGAAATCGGCTGGCCAACGCAAAAATATCTTGCACGTTTTCATCATTGAGATCAATACTAGCAGAGTACAGGTATTTGATGATTAAATCAAGAATAGCCGGATCCACATTATCTAGTACTATCTCCTTTTTTTTCTCCTCCTCAATTTCAGATAAAAAGTACTCACGGAAGTAAGGACTACAAGCTGACAAAATCAATCTGTGGCAAGGAAGACTTTTGTCACCTGCTTTGACGGTGCAATCGATGAATTTTTTCTCATCCAGGAGATCTTTTAGACCATCCTGAAGAAGGGTGGATTGATAAAGCCGTAGTTCCTCTGCAAGTTCCCGCTGGGAATCCATTTTGTGAGCAACCTGGGTAAGGAAGGGGACACTGAGGGCCTCAGCTACTTGCAGCACACACGTCTAGCTGTAAAAAGGCAGATCAGTGTGCTTTGCCCAGCTTGAAGCCTCTGCAATTTAATCCCACCAGCTAAATATAGATACCAGCTCTTAACAACGGGAATTTAGGAGAGCTACTTTGGAAAGAAGAGTTGTTCTGGCAGCTGTCATAGATTGAAAGTAACAACTGGAACTTTTAATCACCAAGGAACAGCTAAGAAACAAGACATTTAAGTGAAGTAGAAAGCTTTAAAATATATAAAGCATTAGAAGATATGCTAATAAAGGCTACCACAAGAATATGTTTACTGAATAGAAAAATGAATCATAAAAATGAGTCACCCCTCTAAAAATGACTTAGTGGCTAGTTATATGGCACATTGAATTAATGACGCAAAGGTCAAGAATATGAGTTGAGTTTACTTGAATTTTCGTAAGATCACCTTTCCAGTAATGGTCACACATTAACTTTTATTTTCTATTCAAAATAATGGGAATTAGATATTTCTTTTAGAAGTAGGAAACTTAAAAGATGTTTCTTGTGTATAATTATAGTTTTATAAAATATGAGATGATACATCCATCATATCTGAAATAACAAATGCATAAAAACAAATGATAATTTTTCTAAGGTATTCTAAATGATTTTTGTTTTTTAAAAAGCTTAATGGTGTTGAATTAAATTATGGAAGTATTTATTCATACTCTGCCTTGATGTACAAAGGATGTGTTATAGCTAACAATAATAGGGAAGTGAGGGAAAAATTTTAAAAAGAATTCTTCAAGATTAAATGAAAAATAAAGTCAATACTAAAAAAATTAAAGACCCACTATGGTATTTTATACAAAAGGTATTTTGTAATTTTTTTTTTTTTTTTGGTCAGTCATGGGGCCTGAACTTTGGCCTTGGTCACTGTCCCTCAGCTCTTCAGCTCAAGGCTAGCGCTCTACCACTTGAGCCACAGCGCCACTTCCAGCTTTTTCTGCATATGTGATGCTGAGGAATCAAACCCAGGGCCTCAGCATGCAAGGCAAGCACTCTGCCACTAAGCCACCTTCCCAGCCCAGTATTTTGTAATTTTTACTGTTAAAAGTTGTTTCATTAAATATTAAGTAGAACAAATGTAGCCTTATGAAATAGTTCATTTTCAAACACTGACAAAATCAGAATAAATACTAGACCACCTATACAATTGGGAAAACAAGCATTATTTTAAAAAGCATACATACACATATAACTGGAATGATCATCTAAGTCGATTATAAGGAATTACCACCTTAATTATGGAATGCAGATGTCATGATGAAGAATCACTAGGGCTACAGAAAGAATTTCAGGGGCTGGTACTCCGTGTTTTTGTGGTACTGAGGGGCTTGTGCATGCTGAGGAAGCACTTTACCAGCAGACACTGGTATTCTTAAATATGCCCCAAAGAATATAAACTCTCTTTTTTTTTTTTTTGGCTAGTCCTGGGGATTGAACTCAGAGTCTGGCACTGTTCTTGAGTTTCTTCTGCTCAAGGATAGCACTCTACCACTTGAGCCACCATGCCACTTCCGCCTTTTTCTGTTTATGTGGTACTGAGGAATCTAGTCCAGGGATTCATGCATGCTAGTCAAGCACTCTACTACTAAGCCACATTCCCAGACCTCTGTGTGTCTGTGCTGCTGTTCAGCCATAGTCCATAAGCCTCACAAATGCTCCATAAACATTTGTTGAATGAATGAATGCCCAGTTCAGAGAATTCTCTATTTTTAAATATCAAGGTCTCTAGCCATGTGTAAAAACTTTTTTCTTTTCTTTTACATCACAGTGATGTCAAGGTACTGTCAGTTGCTAAAACAACAGCTGAAAGAAGAGCTCATTGATTCTTTTTCCATTTATAGAAGTCATTAAAGGTTTTAACACACTAGAAAAAAATAACAGCTGCTCCCGTGTTTAAACAATAAATGACTCATTTCTCTCCACACACAACACCTAACATTTGAAAAGATTAGTGAGTCAGATGTAAGTACCATGATATGGCACTTGGGATTCTTACCAGTGGGCAATTTTAGTTTGTTTTGCTTGAAAAGTAGCGTTTAAACAATCTTTATGACAACATTTTATTTGTGATGTCCTAATGTAGGTCATTATAACTCTATCCATTAAATATGCAAAGATACAGCTGGGCACTGGTGGCTCACACTTGTAATCCTAATTCAAGAGGCTAAAGTTCAAAGCCAGCCCAGGAAGGAAAGTCCATGAGACTCTCATCTCCAATTTACCACCAAAAGGCCAGAAGTAGAACAAGAGGTAAAGCACTAGCCTTGAGTACAAAAGCCCAGGGATAGCACCAACGCCCTGAGTTTCAGCCCCAGACTAGCACCAAAAGGAAGTGTAAAAATCTTTTTCCAGGGGTTGGGAATGTGGTTTAGTGGTAGAGTTCTTGCCTAGTATTCATGGAGCCCTGGGTTCAATTCCACATAAACAGAAAAGGCCAGAGGCAGCGCTGTGGCTCAAGTGGTAGAATACTAAACTTGAGCACAGAGAAGCTCAGAGACAGAGCCCAGGCCCTGAGTTCAAGCCCCAGGACTGCCCTCACTTGCCTCCCCCCCCCCCAAAAAAGAAAAGAAATCCATTTCCCTTTAAATGAAGAAACCCACTTAAAGCTTTTGTTCGATGGTTTTAAATAAAGTGAGATGAGCATTAGGTTATATCATAAACCTGTCTACGACTGTATATATTGTTGCATATTCAAACATTTGTACCACCTCATTCTTTCCTACTACAGAAAGGGCTCCTGTGTAGCTAATGTGAATCATTTGACAAGGTTGTCCACAATGCTCTTGCAACTGGGGTAGCTGAACAACACTAAAACAACTAACACTAACGAACAACACTAGAGAGATTGAAAATTTTTACCTAATCAAATAACGTGTTATTTCTGAAAAATTTTAGACGTTTCAATAATACAAATAAGGAGACAAATCAACAAAAGAACAAAGCAATTTCCTTGGAAGTATATTCTTGTCCAAACTATAATGAAATCACTTCCACATTAGCACTCAAAACAAATAGAGGCTTGATGTATACCATAGTTAGCTGTAATATTTAGTTTTGACAAAATGACTCTCTAAAAATGATGCTTACAGACTACAATTTGTATAGAGTTAGCTTACATTTGGAGCTATGAGATAATGTAGTTAAGCTAAATTTTTATAATTAAGAAAGGAGTATTTTGATTATGATGTTCTTTTAAATAATACTTTCAAAACATTAGATGATGCTGCATAAATTCTTTATTAAACCCAATGATACAGTCATTTAATATCTGAAAACTAAAATTTTACAAGTATTAAGTACATTATAAACGTTTGCAAAGTAGATACATTTCAATTGAAATTTTAAATATAATTTTTTAAAAGAACCGGTGGTTTTCTAAGTGAGATTTTCCTTAATCAGTAAAAAACTCTTTCTGGAAAGCCTTGAATATAAAAGCTGTAAACATAAAAACCATTCCATGCCTTATAGCAGGTGACTAGAATCTTTACTCTTAAGAAATCTTTAAATAGAAATCTAGCTCAACTTAAGATCAACTCATTACTTCCCAAAGTCCCTGTAGTGTGAATCCATCCTTCAATTTCTCTATTGCCAGACCCAGTTCTTCTGAAAATACAGGTTCACGATCTTGTTGCTTTTGGGAGGTAAGAGAACGAGATAGGAATAGAGAGGGTGGGCAAGGGAGAGGAAAAAAACAAAAAATAGGTTTCACATAAGAATGCTAAATGCTGAAATATAGAAAATTGCAAAAAAAAAAATAGTACTATCAGCAAAATGTGCTTACCTTATTACCATCGGCAAAATAAGCCTATAAGACAAAAAAAATTTGATATTTCACATGTTTGCTATGTAATAGGTAAGGGAGCTAAGGAACAGGTAATGGATTGTACAGTGATTCTGCAACTAAATGTATTTCACATTTTGATACTGGAAGTTTAATGGTTTTCTCACTATCTCTACAATGATAGAAATCAAAATTTATTGATCAGTATTAACAGCTACGAAAAAACGATGTCTTTAAGCTCTAAACAAATGTGCTTTGTAGGAATGAACATAGTGGCTCACATCTGTAATTCTAGTTATTTGAGAGGCTAAGATTGAGAAAAATCATGGTTTGAGGCCAGTCCTGGCAAAAGTTTGTGAGATCTCCATCTCAACCAATAAAAAGTTAAGCATGGTGGCCTGCATCTGTCATTCCAAGTGTCACAGGGGAAAGAATAAACAGGATTGTGGTTCAGGCCAATCTGGGCAAAAATAAGAGACCCTACTTGAAAAGTAACACAGGCAAAAAATCCTCAAGTGGCAGAAGGCCTACCCAGAAAGCTCAAGGCTCTAAAAATCAAGCCCTAGAACTGCACAAAAACCTGAGATGTACTTTGTCATTAATGTATAACTTATTCCTAACTTGAAATGAACAAAACAAAACAAACCAGTACTTTAGTGTGCCAGTAAATACATAGAGATAGTGGTAGTTGAAAATTAAATGCCAATTTAGAAACATTTATTGTTCAGATGTGTGTTCTTCTAAAACCATATAGTTACAGATTAAGGGAAATTTATCTTAATTATGTATAGATTTTAAAGTATTTAACCAGCTATAACAGTTTTTGATATTTTTTTGAGGGGTGCTAGTACTGGAAGTTGAACTCAGAGCTTCACACTTGCTCAGCTTGTTTTGCTCATGGGTAGCTCTACTTTAAGTCATGTCTCTAGCCCAGTGTTTTGTTGCTTGGTTGGAGATGGCATCTCACATAGTTTATTGCCCCGGCTAAATTTGAACCATGATCCTCCGAGTCTCAGCCTCTTGAGTAGATAGGATTACAGGTGTTAGCCACCAGTGTGTGGTTCTTAGTTTGGTAATTTAAAAGCATTATCACAAAACAAATTCCCTCACTTAAAAAAATTTACCTCAACCTCATGTCAAAAGTCTCAAGTTTTATAATGTTCTATACAGTCATACCATGACTTAACTAAACATGACTCATGTACAAATCACGAGAAATTTAATAGTTCTTTTTGACACTCACCACAAATGCATCTGTGTGACCATCAGAGTCTATTTCTACATCATCTTGAATTTGTTCCACTGTCAGAGCTTCAAGGGGCTGTGGCTAAAAATCAAGATGTCAGAATTTATCAGAGACAATATTATTTAAACAAATCATTTGAGGAAATGTATTGTGAGAACTATAAATATGTTCAAGAAGATACAACTATAACTACTTAAGTCTTAAGAAAACCACCATTACAATTATAATTACTCTTTCATTAAAACTAATTTGAATAATAAAATGCATTACACTTAAGTTTATTTTTGTCTATTGTTTCATTTTATTTTCTTACTATTAGTTTATTATTATAGAGGTGATATACAAGGGATTACAATTGCATGAGTCAGGTAATGAGTGCCTTTCCTTTCATTCAGTGTCTCCTGTTCCCTCACACTCTCCCAGTCCCTCTCTCCCAGTCCAATCCCTCCTATCTCCACCCACCAGTTGTATAGTTTACTTTCTCCAGTGTCCACTGTGCTTCACTGCTAGTCTTTTCCTTTCTTTCCTTCCTTCCTTCCTTCCTTTCTCTCTCTTTCTTTTTCTTTTTTTGAAAATTCTTTATTGTGATTAAGTGGTTACATAATTTCACAGTATTGTGGGATAGTGATGCTTAGTTAAAGTCACAAACGCATTCTAACTTTCATGGGGCAAATCGTCTATCGTGGTCTATAAAGTTTATGAGTGCTATGAGCTTCGACAATTTCGTCCACATCAGGTGATATGTGCATTCCTTTCCTTTTGCATCGCGTCAGCTGTTCCCTCTTTTCCACTCGTTCCTTCCCTCCCTCCCATCGCTGCCATTGAGTTGCTTAGTCCGTTTTGATCAATGTCCAGTGCAGCTGATGGGTCCTGCTGTTGTATGTTTTTCCCTGATTCCCTCTAGTTCTGTGTCCTCCTCCTAGTTTCCCTCTGGTGTGCACATATATACCATATATGTGATCAGCAGCATGGGGTTACTTAGTGGTGATTCGATCAGATGATACACTTAAGTTTCTAAATCTGAAGTCTAGATCATGAAAAAAGTTAGAATGGGAATTTTCCACATATTTAATATAGTTAAGAGCCATTTTTTTGTTGTTGTTGTTGTTGATTGTGTGGCTTGAACTCTGGACCTGGGCACTGTCCCTCAGCTCTTCAGCTCAGTGCTCTACCACTTGAGCTACAGTGCCATTTCTGTTTTTTTTTATGGTTTAGTAGACATAAGAGTTTCACGGACTTTCCTAACCGGATTGGCTATGAACTGTGATCCTCAGATCTCAGCCTCCTGAGTAGCTAGGATTAAAGGTGTGAGCCACCAGTGCCCAGCCTTAAGAGCCATCCTTTTAAAAAAGACCCTAAATTATTTTTCTTTCACATACTCAAAAACTTGCTTATAATAGCATTTTTTCAAATTTCCTCAAATTACTCATAAAATAAAATTTGTAAAAAAGTAAAATAACAAAGATTTACATAGGATATTTTAAGGCTAAGGCAGAATAAGATGTAGTACTGATATTAATCTGTTCATTTTTCAAATATTTGAGTAACTTTACTGTAGTAGGGAACGTGTACTAGTACCAACAAGGGTATAAAATCCTTCTTCTTACCCACAAAGGATTTATACTCTTCTGATAGTGGTTAGAAAAATAAAACACAATTACAAATAACTATTAGGTTGAACTAAAATTGTAATTTTTATACATAAAGAGGTCAAATACTAACAAACCATCTGGTTCAACCTATGCAAAAAAGCTCACTTAGGTATGGAAGAATGAAAGATGATACAACCAATTAGGAGAACAGTAACTATCAACAGTTAACACAGTCTAGCCCAGGCCAGGCTCACTTGAACAAAGTCTGTGTATCTAGTTTAAAGCAAAGTGTACACAAAGCCTTTATATCTGCATTTCATAGGGAGCATAAAAACAATCCAGCAAACTCCACAGTTCAGATTACCTTTTCTTCCATTTCATAATTCACTCCAAATATGGGACTGGCAGAATAGACTTTGTGAAGTGAATTGATTTCCTTAACTGATTCCTGTAGTTTTTCCACGGGATCTATTTTAAAGCCAAGAACATATCCTCCACTCTACAATAGACAACAAGAGAGAAGACTAAGTCTGACAAACGATAAACTACAGCTGTAATTGTTCTTATTTTAGAGTACACCAGATAAGTTGATTAAAAAATTACACTCATCACTATGAAAAATTTTAAGCACATATAAAAATAGAACACAATACAATACAAAATAATACAAAAAAGCCTTCAGATAATCATCACACAGCTTCAAACATCTCTAGCTCTCCCTTACATAAAACCCACACCTTCAGTATTATTCTGAAATACGTTCAGATATCATATAACCTCATTTGTAAATATAAGAGGTTTCTCAAAATTAAAATAAATGTACTATAGATTTTTCTTGAGTTTTTTTTTTTTTTTTTGGTCAGTTGTAGGGCTTGAACTCAGGGCCTGGGCACTGTCCCTTAGCTCTTTTTGCTTAAGGCTAGCATTCTACCATTTGAGCTACAGTGCCAATTCTGGTTTTTGAGTGGTTAATTGGAGAAGAGTACTTTTCCTGCCTGGGCTGGCTATGAACCGTGATCCTCAGATCTCAGCCTCCTGAATAGCTAGGATTATAGGTGTGAGCCACCAGTGCAGGCTTGTGCTAGTTCTAGAAAAGGTAAAGACTATACATTAAAAGAAAGAAATGAGACAGGCACTGCTGGCTCATTCCTGTAATTCCTGTCTCAGAAGGCAGAGACTTGTAAGGTTGAGGTTCAAAGCCAGCCTGGAAAACCATCTCCAATTAATCAGCAAAATACCTAAATTGAGCTGTGGCTCAATGGTTAGAGCACCAGCCATAAACAAGGAAGCTAAGTGAGAGCTCAAATTCCTAAGTTCAACTCCCAGCACAAGAAAGAAAGGAAGGAAGAAAGGAAGGAAGGAAGGAAGGAAGGAAGGAAGGAAGGGAGGGAAGAAAAGAAAGAAAGAAAGAAAAGAAAGAAAGGAAGAAAGAAAAAGAAAAATGGTCTATTCAAATCCTTAAAGGCTAGCTAGCTCCTTCAAGAATTTAGAAACTATGATAAGCCACTAGGAAAAGTATTAAAAAGACTGATATAATTCAGTTATACACCATAGGTAAGTAGCATACTGTAACTGGTTAGTTCAAAGTTTCATTCTATACATACTTATTAGCTGTCTGATGCTGGGAAACTTACATTTTCAGGTGCACCACCAAACAATTATCTGGTTGTTGTATTAAAATAGACAATGTATACAGGGCCTTTGGTATAGTTGCTGGAGCATAGTAAATAGGCAGCTGTAGACTATAGGAAAGGAGTGAATAGACTTTCATGTTTAAATCTAGAAGGGGCTTTACAATTCAGTTTGTAAAAAAGAAATTTTTTTTTTTGTCCATCGTGGGGCCTGAACTCTGGGCCTGGGTGCTGTCCCTCAGCTCTTCAGCTCAAAGGTAGTGTTCTACGACTTGAGCCACAGGGCCACTTCCGGCTTTTTCTGCTTATGTGGTGCTGAGGAGTCAAATCCAGGGTCCCCATGCATGCAAGGCAAGCATTCTACCACTGAGCCACCTTCCCAGCCTGCCTCCTCCCCCCCTCCCCCCAAATATCTTAAATGTTTTATTTAAAAGTGTTTCTGGAAGCTATGAATGATGGCTCATGCCTGTAATCCTAGCTATTCAAGATGATGAGATTTGAGGATTGTGGTTTGAAGCCAGCCTGGGCATGAAGACCTGTGAGACTATTATTTCTAATTAATTACCAAAAAAAAGTAAAGCTATTGCTCAAGTTGTAGAGTGCTGTCCCTGAGCAAAAAAGCTCAAAGACAGCACCCAGGCCTAATTCAAGCCCTAGGGCCTGCACACACATAAATAAAAAACTGTTTCTAGGTGTGGGTTGGGAGGGATGGGTGAGAATCTTTGAAGGGGTAACAATGAACAAGATGTATTGTATTCATAAACTGCTTTGTTAAATGGCAACTCTGTTGTACAACTACTAAAATAATAAAAGTGTTTCTGTAAAAACAGCAAAATGAGGGTTTATAGTTTAAAATCGGTATGTTAAAATATAAAATGTAGGGGCTGGGAAGGTGGCTCAGTGGTAGAGCGCTTGCTTTGCATGCGTGAGGCCCTGGATTTGATTCCTCAGCACCACATAAGCAAAAAGAAAAAAGCCGGAAGTGGTGCTGTGGCTCAAGTGGTAGAGTGCTAGTCTTGAGCTGAAGAGCTGAGGGACAGCGCCCAGGCCCAGAGTTCAGGCCCCATGACCGGACCCCCCCCCCAAAAAAAAAAAAAATATATAAAATGTATTAAACACGTGTGTGTATGTTTTTCTCAAAGAAAATCTTTTTCTTTTTTTGTTCTAAGACCTGAACTAGGTATCTGATGCTTTTGCTCATTGGCTGACGCTCTGCTACCTGAGCCATGTCTCCAACCCCTCTAAGAAAATCTTATGAATCAGCCAGATCTGGAATCAAACTTTAGTCTCACCCCTTGCTAGTTATGAGACCACAGACCAGGCTCCTAACTTCTCCAGGTGTCAGTTTCTAGACAGTAAAATGGGGGAAAACAGTAGAGTTTTAGACTGAGAGAATATAGAAACAGCATTTGACATAATAACTTGATTAATAACAAGTGATAATTGTATCTCTCCAGCAAAAAATAAATAAATAAATAAAACAAAGAAAAAAAACAAAACAAAGGCAGAGCTGGGCTTGGTGGTGCAGGCCTGTAATCCCAGCACTGAGGATGCTGAAGCAGGAGGTTTGTGAATTTGAGGCTGGCTTGGGCTATACAGAAAGATACTTTCTCAAAATAAAACAAAACAAGAAACATGGACAGGATTCCTCCTACAGAGACAATTAGCATAAGACTTCAAACACTTCATAAACCTTGAGAGTATAGTTAATAATCTTGTTGCTAGGTAATAAAACTAAAAGCCTAGATTGTAAAATAAAATACTGTCACACAGTTTAAAAAATTTATCTTAGGTTAATAAAAATGTAAAATATCTTACCTGCTTAGAACTTTCAATGACAAGAGCTAAGCCAAATTTTGAATCTCTAATCTTTATTGAACGCTAAAAAAAAAATAAAAAGAAAATGCATGTTTTATTATCTGACAGTGGTAACTCTTTAATATAAGGTTTTAAACTTTTATACAGGTACTACTTTTCAAAGGATAAACTTCACAGAGATCAAGTTAAACTTGATCCTGAAAATGAAGACATCTGAAATATGCACAAAAATATTTCTCATTTTCAGGGAACTAGCAATTTTTCTGAATATTTTACACAACCACCAATAATTTTTTAAGTTACTATGAGCCAGTGTCTTTTGTGGTGTCAAGGCAGGATTAGTTTCAAAGTCACATGCTGTTTCCTACATCAAGGGTGGCTAAGTTCTAAAAGACCCTTGATTTTCACTTTCCACTTAATTATTCATTCTTTTGGGGTGCTAAGGATTGAACCCCAGGGCCTGGTATATACTAGTCAAGTGCTCCTACCACTGGATACATCTCAGCCCTCCATTTACTTTTTAGAAAAAAAACTTATGAACACCAATCACAAGGCATCAGGAAGGCTGGAACAAGTAGTCGCAATGAACAAGAGCTTCTAAGGATTAAACAGGAGCAGGGGATGGGAAGTGGTGGCTCCAGTAGCCTGAGAGAAGGGAGGTGGCAATGGCAAGTAGGGGCTTTAGAAAGAGACCAAAACCACTTGTTGGAGAAAGGGAAAACCATGGAGGACCTAATATTATCCCAGCAGACCAAAAGCCCGGAGAGGGTCTTCTGTGGCAGCTGATGGCATGTCACACTTCCAGAGAAAAAGAGGAGAGAGACAGATTTTAGTGGTAATTCCTATGAAAATCTGGCCTTTCAGCTAACTACTTTACATTCCGCCAAGAATACAGAGTTCCTAGTTAGAACCATAGAACACTGGCATCCTTGGCTGTCATCAACAGAAAATGTAACTAGGAGATACAGACTGATAAAAGCAGCAAGAAGCGCGCGCGCGCACGCACGCGCACACACACACACACACACACACACACACACACACACCACAAGTCAGGACCATGGCTGAGGTGTAGAGCACACACACACACACACACACACACACACACCACGAGTCAGGACCATGGCTGAGGTGTAGAGCACACACACACACACACACACACACACACACACACACACACACACCCCACGAGTCAGGACCATGGCTGAGGTGTAGAGCACACACACACACACACACACACACACCACGAGTCAGGACCATGGCTGAGGTGTAGAGCACACACACACACACACACACACCACGAGTCAGGACCATGGCTGAGGTGTAGAGCACACACACACACACACACACACACACACACACACACACACACACCACGAGTCAGGACCATGGCTGAGGTGTAGAGCACACACACACACACACACACACACACACACACACACCACGAGTCAGGACCATGGCTGAGGTGTAGAGCCAACACACACACACACACACACACACACACACACACACACACACACACACCACGAGTCAGGACCATGGCTGAGGTGTAGAGCCAAAGTTAGGGAATGACTACTGCAGAGACAAGTTGTGATAGTATCAGATTGCAAGCTGTTTCGGTTAGGCTGAATTCACTCCACAGGCCATATTTGGCTCCTCTATTCTGAATAAATAGCCACAGCAAAAATACTTTATTTGAAGAACAGAAAGCACATTGTTGTTTACTAATCAGTAATTATTTAGCATGACAGAGGTTAGATTAAGTGAGCTTTAGCACACACAAAAGCAATCTGATTATACTTTCCCGTATTTCTGGTTGGAGATATAGCTCAGTGGTGGAGTGCTTGCCTAATATGCACAAGGCCTTGAGTTTGATCCTCAGCATGACAAGTAAAATAAAACAAATCGAATTTCTTTGGGTGGCCAGAAATAATTTTCTTCCTATTGAACTCTACGATTAACTATTTATGTATTGTTTTCCTCCACCAGATTGAAAACTCTTGTGGCAGGAATGGTGTATTGATTCAAGATTGTTATTTCTGGCACTTAGCCCAGAGAAGGTGTTTAGTATCTGGCAAATGAATAAAAAATGATCAGATATTTTAAAGTAACTCAGAAATCAAACTAGCTAGGAAAAAATAGGCTTGGGAATATTTTGCAAAGCATTATTAATCTCATTGGCTAAGAATTTTTTTTTCTTTTTAGTTATTATAAAGGTGACGTACAGAGGGATTACAGTTTATATAAGTTAGGAAAAGAGTACATTTCTTTTTGGATATCACCCAAGAATTCTCTTTTAAAAAATAGCATTTTCAGCTGGGCGCTGGTGGCGCACGCCTGTAATCCTAGCTACTCAGGAGGCTGAGATCTGAGGATCGCGGTTCAAAGTCAACCCGGGCAGGAGAGACCGTGAGACTCCTATCTCCAATAAACCACCAGAAAACCGGAAGTGGTGCTGTAGCTCAAGTGGTAGAGCACTCGCCTTGAGCTAAAGAGCTGAGGGACAGCGCCCAGGCCCAGAGTTCAAGCCCCATGACCGACCAAAAAAAAAAAATAGCATTTTCAGCTGGGTGCTGTTGGCTCAGGCCTATAATCTTAGCTACACAGGAGGTTGAGATCTGAGGATTGAGGTTTGAAGCCAGCCTGGGCAGGAAAGTCTGAGACTCTTTAATAACAGAAAAAGCCAGAAGTAGGGGGTTGGTAGAGTGCTTGCTAGGCATGCATGGGGCCCTGGGTTTGATTCTTCAGTACCTCATTAGTAGAAAAAGCTGGAAGTGGTGCTGTGGTTCAAGTGGTAGAGTGCTAGCCTTGGGCTGAAGAGCTGAGGGACAGTACCAAGTTCAAGCCCCACAAATGGCCAAAAAAAAAAAAAAGCCAGAAGTGGAGCAGTGGCTCAAATGGTAGGGCACTAGTTTTGGGCAAAAGTGGCTCAGAAACAGTGCCCAGGCCCAGAGTTCAAGTCTCAGGACTAGAAAAAGAAAGCATCTTCTAAATATCACATATATTGCATCTATTCAAAAAGTATTAATAAGACTGCTTAGGTTTTTTTTTTTGTTTTGTTTTGTTTTGGGGAGGTCCAGTCATGGGGCCTGAACTCTGGGCCTGGGTGCTATCCCTCAGCTCTTCAGCTCAAGGCTAGCGCTCTACCACTTGAGCCACAGCGCCACCTCCGGCTTTTTTCTTTTTGCTTATGTGGTGCTGAGGAATCGAACCCAGGGCCTCAGGCATGCAAGGCAAGTGCTCTACCACCTTCCCAACCCCCCCTTTTATAATTGGTTATGAGGCTTGAACTTAGGGCCTGGTTGCTCTCCCTAAGCTTTTTGCTCAAGGCTAGTGCTCCACCACTTTGAGCCACAGCTCCACTCTCAGTAGAGCTCAGTTTTCTAGTGGCTAATTGGAGATAAGAGTCTCATGGATTTTTCTTCCCAGGCTGGCTTTGAACCACAATCCTCATATCACAGCCTTCTGAGTAGCTAGGATTACAGATGTGAGCTACCAGTGCCCGGCCCAGATGATCTTTTTTAAAAAAATCTATTCCAAAACAAACTGGTCTCAGATGTAGTGAGTTCTTATTCTAAATTTTAGCAGCTTTAATTGAACTTAAGCTAAAAGTATTAGCACTAAAAATCACTTTGATTCCTTCAGTAAACCTGTGGTATGAATCCAGCTTGTGTTGCAGTCTAATTGAATAGAATGAAAGCAGTTCATTTATAAGACCAGTGGATTCATTCTGGCTTAAAAAGGGTTTGGAGCAGAAAGTGGTAAGAAAAATCAACAGCAAGTATATGAGTTAGTATGCTAAGTCCAAACCAAAGAAGTCCAAACCTACCTGCTCCACAGAAAGGTTGCAGAAAACTTTAGTGGCTAAAGACCTTTGATCAGAATCTAATAAAGAAAACTTAGTTAACTATTTAAAAATTTAAAACCCAATGCATTTATTTTTTAGTAGCAAGTTAATAATGATGCTGTTTTCCTTGAATATAAATAGAGTTATATCTTTTCTAGTGGAATGGTAAAGTATTAACATTTAAAAAGTATGCTCTTAGCTAATAACTTAGTGCCACATAAAAATGGGAAAGAAAAAGAATTTGTCTAATTCCAACAGTCCTATGGACTAATTATTAACTATATTAGTTATTATACATTTAAATAAGTAACCAAAATGTATATACTTACAATTTGCAAATATGGGATGCTGACATTAAAACTGTCATTCATATTTGCATGCCACACAATTCTCACATTGGTGATAAAAAATGTTCCTAAATTTCCCTGCAAAAGACAGTAATGAATCGTAAGTCAATGATGATTTGTTTGGATACTTAATCTTTATTTTCTAGAACATGGAATAATTCTGATATCACAGCATTAGATTAATATAAGATCTGAGTATTATGGAGTATAAATGCTTCTGATACGATAGCAAAATAATTAGATGACTATGGGTCTAGACTGTGGAATCATTTATCATTTAACTGTCAGTATAGTTAAAACTTACACATATAATCCTAGGCTGAGAACAGGAGGATCAAAGTTTGAGGCCAACCTAGGCAGAAGACTTTGCACGACCTCTTCTCAACCCAACACTGGGCACAGTGGGCACCCAACAGTAGTGTATACACCTATCATCCTACTTATTCAGAAGGCTAAGGTTGCAGGATCATGGGTCCAGATCAGCCCAGAAGACAAAGTCCAAGAGACTCCATATCTCAAAGGAAGAGGCCATTCTCTCTGAAACTATGTGAAGACACTGGAGGATGCTGTCAGAATAAAAATGGAGTCTACCGGGCATGGTGGTGGTACATGCTTGTAATTCAGTACTTGAGAGGTAGAAACAGGAGGATCATGATTGAGATGAGCCTACATACCCACATACCAAATTCTAGGACAGTCTGATCTGTAGAGAACAGCAAAAATGTAGTCACATGTGCCAACTTCTCAACTAAAGCTGAGAAGTTATGACGAAAGGATTTTTTTTTTTTGACAGTCCTGGGGCTTGAACTCAGGGCCTGGGCACTGTCCCTGAGCTTCTTTTGCTCAAGGCTAGCACTCTACCACTTGAGCCACAGCGCCACTTCTGGCTGTTTTTGTTTATGTGTTGCTGAGGAATCAAACCCAGGGCTTCATGCATGCTAGGCAAGCACTCTACTATTAAGTCACATTCTCAGCTCTGGAGAAAGGATTCTTGTGCAGTTTTTTGGCACAAAAGCCCTTCCAAGCACTCTGACAGAAGGCAAATTTGTATTTTCTGACTTTAGTTCCCTCTTGTATTCCTTGTATTCTGCTTTGTAATGGTGTGATCTTCAGGATTAAACAACATTCTCTTTCTAGCCCTTGAAGATTATCCTCTATTTATATACTAGTTTATCCACAGCCTGGGAATATATGAAACTAGGTTGTTCAACATCCTAGTTCCCCCAAGAGTGAGAAATGTTTAAATGTAAGGGGGTTTGTAACAGATACTTAAGTGCTTTTGGTAGAAAGCAGCAACTGTTCACTGACCTGCAGACTTTCTGTCTCCACACTGTCATTTCAGTCACCTTAGATTGCTGGAATAACAGGACTGACAGGTAAACTTCTTGTGATAGGAGGCAAAGTGAATCTATCCCACCCTAGAGCACAAACAGCTTTCCTATCCTGACAAGGCTACACCTAATCAATTAGGAGAAAACGGTCATCCAATGCATACCTTTGACCATACCTCCTGCTCCCTGCTCCTAATATTATTACTTGTATTAATTTTTTTACATATTTGCTCAACTTCTTACTTCCAGGCTAGAGTATCATCACCCTCAGACAGTACAAACATCTTCCCACAGCATCTTTCACCTTGGGTAACATATGGCACGTTGTTTTGTGACTACTATAGTTTGGCTGGTTTGACAGAGAAAGGCTGCATTCTCAGCAATGTTTGCCTGATCCAATCAACTTTCCTGTGTCCTGACAGACAGGACTCTAGAACCTGAGAACTCACATCATCTTCTGTCAGCTGAGATCAGCTAGACTGACTTCACCATCTGTATGTCTGAAAAAGTTCAGGATACTGAACTCTTCCAAGGGAATGTTATCATAGGTATATAGGTAGGCATAAGCAGGAAAAGGAAAACCCCAAGGCGAAAACAGCCCTATAGGTGTTTTTTTTTTTTTTTTCCAGTGATGGGGCTTGAACTCAAGGCTTGAGCACTGAGCTTTTTTGCTCAAGGCAAGCACTCTACCTTGAGCCACAGCACCACTTCCGGCTTTTTCTGTGTATGTGGTACTGAGGAATCGAACCTAGCGCTTCATGCATGTTAGGCATGCATTCTACCATTAAGCCACCTTCCCAGCCCGGCCCTATAGTTTTAAGATAATGGTCCTGTATTCTTATGGAGCCCAGTCCCTATTTCAAGGTTAAACTGGAAAAGACAAAGAGAATCAGTGGGAAGGCAGAGAAGTGCAAATGCATATGCACAGGCCTTCCCATACCTGGGTAACTTGCGTTCAGTGGCTAAACCATTTGGGAAAGGCCACAGGACAAGGCTCTGATTTCTCTACACCTAGTAAATCCCATCCTCACTCTACTGAGAAACTCCAAGCTGCCCCACACTGTCCCTGTTAAAGTGGTTGGTCTTTCTCTAAACTGCCCTTGGCTTTGGTAATAAATTATTATTTTATCAAAAAAGCAAGCAGGACTTAGAGAACAGGGTAAAGTGCTTACCTAGCAAGCACAAGGACCTGAGTGCAAACCTTAGTAATACCAGAAAAAGATGACCTATTCCTCAATTATAAACAGAAGCATGTACAGTGCATATATATTTTCCTTTCATCATGTAAATAAATACTATACAAAAAGGTTAGCTATTGTTCTCTGTCCATGTCCAGCTTATCAACGCTAAGTCTACATTTGTAAGTAATAATTCTTTAGGTCATTGTTTCCTCTCATTTAGCTAACACAATTGTAAAACTCCCAAATATTTCTCAAAATATATAAGGTCATATTTCATTATTTTTTAAATTTAAATTGATAATAGCATCCTATTTCTTTCTTTTTTGGTAGTACTTGGGTTGAACTAAGGGCCTCAAGTTTGCTAAGGCAGGTGCTCTATCAGTTGAGCTGTGTGTGCGCTCTAGCACCTTTTGCATTGGTTATCTTCTAGGAAGGGTCCTGCTTTATGCCTGCGCTTCAACCTCATACTGTGTCACTGGGAATAACAGGCATGTACCACTGTGTCCAGCCATGATGCTTCCCCCATAGCTGGGATAACAGGCACATGGCAGCTTGTCCAGCCACTGGCTGAGATGGGAGTCTCAGGACTCTTGGACCTGGTTTTGAATATTGATCCCCAGACCTCTGCCCCCCAAGTAGCTAAGATTATAAGCTTGTACCACCATACCTGGTAACATCCTTGTTTTTAATATATTATACATGTAATATATATCCTTAATATATATTATATCCTTAACATATAAATATATATCTTGGGCTGGGAAGATGGCTCAGTGGTAGAGCGCTTACCTTGCATGCCTGAGGCCCTGAGTTCGACTCCTCAGCACCACATAAGCAAAAAGAAAAAAGTCGGAAGTGGCGCTGTGGCTCAAGTGGTAGAGTGCTAGCCTTGAGCTGAACAGCTGAGGGACAGTGCCCAGGCCCACAGTTCAGGCCCCAGACCAGACCCCCCCCCCCAAAAAAAATATATCTTATATACATTATACATAAAATATAGTAGCTGGGCACCGGTGGCTCACGCCTATAATCCTAGCTACTTAGGAGGCTGAGATCTGAGGATCAAGGTTCAAAGCCAGCCCAGGCAAGAAAGTCTGTGAGACTCTTATCTCCAATTAACTACCAGAAAACTGGAAGCGGTGCTGTGGCTCAAGTGGTAGAGTGGTAGCCTTGAGCTAAAGAGCTGAGGAACAGCGTCCAGGCCCAGAGTTCAAGACCTAGGACCAATAAACAACCCCCCCCACAAAAACCACAAAAAACCATAAAATATATACTATATTATATGTAGTATATATATATATCTTATGTATTATGTCCTTAATATGTTATATGTAACATATTATATATTCATATATATCCTTTTATTAAAAGGATAAATGTAGGGCTTGGAAGATGGCTCAGTGGTAGAGTGCTTGCCTTGCATGCCTGAGGCCCTGGGTTCGATTCCTCAGCACCACATAAGCAAAAAGAAAAAAGACGGAGGTGGCGCCGTGGCTCAAGTGGTAGAGCGCTAGCCTTGAGCTGAAGAGCTGAGGGACAGCACCCAGGCCCAGAGTTCAAGCCCCACGACCGGACCCAAAAAAAAAAAGGATAAATATAAAGGATCTATATCTATATCTCATTTGAAAATCATGATATTCCCATCTTAACAAGCCAGTTGAGGTTGACACACATCTGTAATCTGTAATCCCAGCTATGCAGGAGGCATTTGGCAGAAGTGGTCTGTAGCTGGGCCTAGGCAAAAGCTCAAGACCCTATCTGAAAAGTAAAGCAAAAAGTGGTAGAGCACCTACCTAGCAAGCACAAAATCCTGACCACAAACCCAAGGACTACTAAGAAAACCAAGTTCTATATTCCAAAATACCAAAGGTTTTCCATAGAGGGTTAGCAGTCTCATCTAGGTCATAACACACACAAAGCCTAAAAGCTATTCCTAGTAAGAGAGAAATTTTTCTAATTATTCACATGTTCCAACTGATCATAATTTAAAGAGAAAATGAAAAACTATAATGGTAGACTTAAGAGTCACCAAATGAGCTGGCCATAGCAGACTATGCCTGCAATTCCAGCACTGGGAAGCTGAGGCAGGACAATTCTGAGTTCAAGGCCACCCTGGAACATAGCAAGATCTTGTCTGAAAAAATAGTAGGGCTGGGAAGGTGGCTCAGTGGTAGAGTGCTTGCCTTGGATGCATGAGGCCCTGGGTTCGATTCCTCAGCACCACATAAGTGAAAAGAAAAAGCCAGAAGTGGCGCTTTGGCTCAAGTGGTAGGACGCTAGCTTTGAGCTGAAGAGCTGAGGGACAGCGCCCAGGCCTAGAGTTCAGGTCCCACAACCGGACCCCCCCCCAAAAAAAAAAGTCAGTAAATAATATGACTAGTTCTCTAAAGACCAGATTAAATCTGAGCATGGTGGTATGGTGGTATGGTGGTACATGACTATAATCCCAGCATTTGGGGGACAGAGGCAGTATGATTTCAAGTGTGAGGCCTGGTTCAATTACATAGTGAGATTCTAAAAAACCTAGGGGTTAGAAGACGACGAAATAAAATTAGAAGGCTCTGTGACTGTTCACTCTCTGGTTCTTCCACCACTAATGTTGAGTTACCAAGAAGTTGAGGGCTGTGTAGTATAAGGGGAACTAAGGATTTGGGACAAACTATGCATGTGAGACTACATGAACACTTGCAGGCTCGAGTTTCTCAAGTATGAAAGTGAAGGAGAGTGAACTAGATGATCTCAAAGGTCCATTTGTAGCTCTCAATTCTATACAGAATTGAGGTTGCTGAAAAGAACATAAAAACCAGAATATTACCTAATATCAAGAGCTATAACACTAATTTATCCAGAGCTATAATTCTCACTGTAAGAACTTAATAATGGTAGAAAAAAATGACTGCCAAAACACCATTTCCAAAAGTTCATTAGTTTTTTGCACAATACCTGATCACTGGATAAATTCCATACACCATTGATTTTATCATAAACATGCTCCTGTGGTAACAACTTTAGTTGCTTGTTTTGAATTAATGCACTTCTCAATTTGAAATCACGATACATCTTAGAAGTTTCATATGCCCTATAAAAAAACAAACAAAAGACTAATCCAAACTGAGAATGTGGTTTTCTTAGGTTATGTTTACTTATCTACTAATGTGTATGTGTGTGTGTATAAAGTTAGATACATTTCATAATTATTATGGCAAATTAAAAAAAAATTTCAACTGGCTATGGTAGTGCACATCTATAACCCTAGAGCCTGAGGGGAAACATATAAGGCAGAAAATGATATAATTATTATTTTGGGGGCTTGGCGCTGTCCCTGAGCTCTTTTGCTTAAAACTAGTACTCTATCACTTTCAGCCACAGCACCACTTCCAGAAAATGATATATTTATGAAATTCAAATTAAAACAATTACATTTTTTTGTAATCTTAGCCTAGATTTCTCTCTCTCTCCTTCTTTCTTATACTTTTTTTTATCTGGTTGTGGGGCCTGAACTCTGGGCCTGGGCGCTGTCCCTCAGCTTTTCAGCTCAAGGCTAGCGCTCTACCACTTGAGCCACAGCGCCACTTCCGGCTTTTTTCTTTTTCTTATATGGTGCTGGGGAATCGAACCCAGGGCCTCATGCGTTGCAAGGCAAGCGCTCTACCACTGAGCCACCTTCCCAGCCCCTCTCTCTCCTTCTTTCTTACCTCCCTTCCCTCCTCTTTTTCTTTCTTGGAAGTCTTGGTATTTAAACTCAAGGCCTCATGTATTACAAGACAAGTGCTTTACCAATCAAGCCATCTCCTATTCCTTTGCTGCTTTAGGTATTTTTCAGTTATGGTTTTCAACATTCTGATCCATGCCTCCTGAGTTAAGATAGGAGCTGCAAACTTTCCCTTGGCTGACCTCAAACCATGGGCCTCCTGATCTCTGTCTTTTGAGTGCTGGGATTATTGGTATGCACTAACATGTCTGGTGTCTTACATGTTCCATAAATTCCTTCAGAGAGCTTATTAAATGATAATGAAATGTGTTCTCCTAAATAGCTTCAAGATATCTGCTGTGAAGCTTTGGAAAAAGGTATCATCATAACTTCTAAACTTTGTCTTCTAAACTTTTATATTATACAACTTAAAAATATACAATAATCCACAAACTATTACTATACCTGCGTACTGCAATCACAGAAGTAAAAAGTCTAGGACTTCCAGGAACCAAATTTGTAAATATAAATTCAAAGCGAGTAGTGTTACATTTTGTTAGTATATAAAGAGCTTCAGTTTGGCCTCGTAATTTCTGTAAGGACAAATTTATTTAAAAGTTCAGATTTGAAGAATAATTTCTCACATAAAGTGCAAGCAAACAGTAAGTAACAAAACAAACACCAAGATTTCTCAGACTTACAGAGTTAGCAGTCCTTATTGTAATATTCAATATGCAGTTGTAACCGATAGCTAAAATTTAAAAAAGCAACAATGAATGTAAGTAACATGATCTAATAAGCTGAGAAAAATACTATTGTAAAAAATATATACGTCAGGTGCTGGTGGCTCAGGCCTGTAATCCTAAGCTATTCAGGGGGCTGAGATCTGAGGATTATGGTTCAAAGCCAGCTCAGGCAGGAAAGTTGGTGAGACTTTTATTTCTTATTAACCACCAGAAAAGCGGAAGTGGGTAAGTGGCAGAGTGCTCGCATTGAGCTGAAGAACTCAGGGACAGTGCCCATGCTCAGAGTTCACAGTGCCCATGCTCAGATTTCAAGCCCCTTGACCGACCCACCCCCCCCAAATACAGAACTTTTAAATAGCTTTTTTTAAATAGAATTTTTAAATAGCTTTAAAAATTAGACATACACAAAAAAACAACTTCAGCTGGGCAATAGTAGCTCACACCCATAATCCTAGCTACTTAAGGGGCTGAAATCTGAGAACTGAGGTTCAAGGCTAGTCTCCTCAAATAAATTCAAGAGACTTTTATTTCTAATTAAACAGTAAAAAGCTGGAAATGGAGGTATGGATCAAATGCTAGAGTACCAGCCTTGAGCAAAACAGCCAAGCAAAAGCACAAAGTGTTGAGTTTAAGACCCAGGATTGGCACAAAAAGAAAGAAAGAAAGGAAGAAAGAAAGGAAGGAAGGAAGGAAGGAAGGAAGGAAGGAAAGGAAGGAAGGAAGGAAGGAAGGAAGGAAGGAAGGAAGGAAGGAAAGGAAGGAAGGAAGGAAGGAAGGAAGGAAGGAAGGAAGGAAGGAAGGAAGGAAGGAAGGAAGGAAGAAAGAAAGAAAGAAAGAAAAAGAAAAAAAAAGAAATACTTTAACATTTTTGTGAATTACAAATTTAAATTAAACTAGTCAATTCTGCCTCTTTGGACCAACAAAAAAACTCATAAAATCAGAGAAAGGGTGTATGCATTTCTCAAACTCATATAGCACCCTTCAATGAAAGAAAAAGCCTAACTGGATCATCTAAAACAGTATTAAAAAGTAAGTGATACCAATTTACAATAATGAAGACTATTTTCACTAGGACTTTCTTTGGGTTTTCTTCTTCTATATCAAGCTGACAAAGATAAACAAAAACAAAAACAAGGGGTGTGGGGGGGGATGGGAGGGCAGGGATGGTAAGAGGAAACAAAGGAGGAGGCAACAATGCTTGATAAGAAGTGTACTCAAGGGCTGGGAAGGTGGCTCAGTGGTAGAACCCTTGCCTTGCATGCATGAGGCTCTGGGTTCGATTCCTCAGCACCACATAAGCAAAAAGAAAAAAGCTGGAAGTGGCGCTGTGCTCAAGTGGTAGAGCGCTAGCCTTGAGCTGAAGAGCTGAGGGACAGCGCCCAGGCCCAGAGTTCAGGCCCCACGACCGGACCCAAAAAAAAAAAAAAAAAGAAGTGTACTCAGTACCTTGCTCATATAATTGTAACCCCTCTGTTCGGTATTTTCACAATAAAAAAAATTATTAAGAGAAAAACAAAAACAAAGCCGGGTGCCAGTGGCTGACGCCTGTAATCCTAGCTACTGAGGAGGCTGAGATCTGAGGATCATGGTTCAAAGCCAGCCCAAGCAGAAAAGTCCGTGAGACTCTTATCTCCAATAAACCACTAGAAAACAGGAAGTGGTGTTGTGGCTCAAGCGGTAGAGCACTCGCCTTGAGCTGAAGAGCTGAGGGACAGTGCCCAAGCCCAGAGTTCAAGCCCCACGATGGACAAAAAAAAAAAAAAAAAATTCAATACAAAAGCACTAGTCTCATATATGTGTAAGAAACAGAAACAAAAAATAAGAACAGGACATTTCTTTTGTATTATGGTGCAATCTGTGGTTAGGTCAGACTTCAGATTTCTATATATTTCATAGTATAGCTTTGTGTATGTGTGCTTATGTGTGTCCTGGTCCTGGGGCTTGAATTCAGGGCCTGGGCCCTGTCCCTGAGCTTTTGTGCTTAGTGCTCTACCACTTGAACCACAGAGCCATTTCTGGTTGGTTTTTTTGTTTGTTTGTTTGGGTTTTGTTTTGTTTTTTTTGGTAGTTACTTGGAGATTAAGAGTCTCTTGGACTTTCTTTTTTTTTTTTTTTTTTGTCGGTCGTGGGGCTTGAACTCTGGGCCTGGGCACTGTCCCTCAGCTCTTCAGCTCAAGGTGAGTGCTCTACCACTTGAGCTACAGCGCCACTTCCGGTTTTCTGGTGGTTTTATTGGAGATAAGAGTCTCACAGTCTCTCCTGTCCCGGCTGGCTTTGAACCGCGATCCTCAGATCTCAGCCTCCTGAGTAGCTAGGATTACAGGCGTGAGCCACCAGCGCCCGGCTCTTGGACTTTCTTGACTGAGCCAGCTTTGAACCTAAATTCTCAGATTTGAGCCTTCTAAGAAGCTAGGATTACAAGTATAAGCCATACGCTGTGGCTCAAGTGGTAGAGCACTAGCCTTGAGCTGAAGAGCTGAGGGACAGTGCCCAGGCCCAGAGTTCAGGACCCACGACCGGACCCAAAAAAAAAAAGTACAAGCCATAATACCTAGCCATAGTATAGCTTTTTTAATATTAAAATCTGCCACCCACCTTCCTTGATGAAAGATTCTATTTTCCTTAGAGTTTTATCTAATGAGGATACTTACAAAGATTGACTCGAATTAATGCCAAAGAATGCCAGATAATTCTTAAATTTGTTACTAAGAGTCTACCTAAAAGCAAACAAATGATAAGAAATTGATTAGCTTAAGAAAGGACTCATATCTGCAGCACAAAATGAAGGGAATACAAAACTTGTTTTTTCTGTACATCTGTTCTAGGTACTAACAAGTGACAGCTATAGAAAGTATTCAGGTATTTGTAGCCAATAGCTTGGTTTGTTTTGTTAGAAGATGCCCTTAGTTCTTATATATGGACACATGGTATAATTATAAAAGCACTCACTAAAATAACATGTACACACTAGTCCCTGTCATATGAGTGCTGTCTTACAAGTCCTCATTTAAATTAACCATATACTTAGGTACACAATTTAGTTAACAGAAAAGGCTGAAATCTTTGCACTTTTCAGTATTAGCATCACTCTGATGCTCTCATACAAAAGTACAAAGTTAGATGTGCTTCATTTCTCAAAGTGTGTCCTGTAGAATAGTGGACCCTATACAGTCTGCTCTATAGTATAGATGATCAAAAGGGAGCAAAAGAGTAAATGGTAAATTATGTGTCTTAGAGATTTACAATATAGTTGCACATTACAATAATTTTAAGAGATCTTGAAATAACAAAACACACTGAACTTTTTAAATACATTTATCCAACAAATTATAACCATAGGTGTGTGTATGTGTGTGTGTGTGTGTGTGTGTGTGTGTGTGTGTGTGTGTGTGTGTACACCAGTCCTTGAGCTTGAAAACTCAGGGCCTGGGTACAGTCCCTGAGCTTCTATGCTCACAGCTTGTGCTTTACCACTTGAGCCATAGCTCCACTTCCCACAGGATTCTTGTGATGAGTAGTTTACCATAATCTTTCTTCCTTGAAAGCCTACTGGGTCAGAAGAACTTGGCAAAGAATGACGAAAGGGATGATACTGATCAAGATGCATTGTACTCATACACTGACATGTTGAATGGTAACCCCTTTGTACAACTACTTAAGATAGTAAAAAATAAAAATAAAGAATAAAATAAAGTAGGCTTATAGGAGTATCAGAGTGAGCTGGGATAGAAAAATGAGGTTCTGAAAAAATTAAAAGGAAATTAAAAGGAAGGCAATCTCAGAGGAAAATTTGGGAAATTAGATATTGTTTGGCAAATAATAAGTAACCCAATATGGATGGAGTGTATGTACGGTTCCTACATCATAGAGGACTATGCAGTGCATCTTTTAGAGGTTCAAGAAGAAAATATATGACACTCAAGGGAGGATAATGAAGATTATTTGCAGAAGGACTTATTACAAGTATGGATGGAATGTTAGAATTACAGGTGAGTCAGCAGACCTGCTACCTTTCCAAACTCAAAGCATAGAGCAGTTTACATAATCTGGAAGGAACAAGAGCCGTAGGGAACAGACTGATTGTAGAGAGGAAACATAGCCAGCCTCTCAGTCAGAGAGAACCCAGGAAGATTCTCAGGCCTCCCTTTGATCTTCTGCCATAGGTATTTTCTAAACAGAAGCCAGAGGCAAAGAACAATCTTTTGATGTAAGCAAAACAAGCCATCTTTCCAGGTCCAGGGGAAAGGAGTAGAGCAAGGTGCTGGACCTGGAAGGACAAAATTTTTTATTTTGAGATGGGATCTTGTTGTCTAGGCCAAATGAGCCCAAAGTAGCTGGTTCTATAGGTATGTACTATGGTGCCAAGCTTTATAGTTTAATGTTCTGCAACTCACTTTTATGACTTTTTATTCATAACTGGGTGCTGGTGGCTCACACCTGTAATTCTAGCTACTCAGGAGGTTGAGATATGATGATCAATCATGAGATTCATTTCCAATTAACTAGCAAAAAGCTAGAAGTGGAGATATGGCTTAAGTGGTAGAGCACCATCCTTGAGTGGAAAGCAAAGTGAGAACTCAAGGCTCTAAGATCAAATCCTAGTACTGACACACAAACATACATGCAAATTGTGGATAAATTGGTTTATCATTTTCTTAAGACAATATTTTGTCTGTGCAACTAGGCTATGAACCGAGGTTATCCACTAATGTTTAATGTTTTTCTATTAGAGTATCCCTAGAAAACTGCCAACCAAATCTTTTTTTTTTCTCTTGATGTATCTTCGATGAAGTCTCTTTGATTCCTCTGCTGCCTTTTTTTCTCTGAAAGGACCCCCTCTCTTCCTATAGCTTCAAATCCAGTGTTTCAGGCCTAGATTTTTCCCTCTGACGTTCCAAACACTTGCTGTCCCTGTTCTTCTAATCTTCATAACACTAATCTTCCAAACACTGACCTTGTTTCATTCTCACACGGTTTCAGTGCACAAAGCTAATCTGATCATTTCAGGGCAGGGTACTGGAGCTGAAAATGGATTAAACATGCTAATCTTCTAGTGTACTTATAGTTCTAAAATAGGGGCTCCGGACCCAACAGTGCCTTAACTTAGTTGTTAAACTGCTAGGAAAGGAAAGTAGATAGATGTTTGGAAAGCAAGATTCTTCTTTTCTTTTCTACCTCCTTTTAACCCAGAAAATGTGGATACTTCTGTAGTTTCATTTAAACAGAGGTTTCTGAGTGCACACATGCCCATACATATCCAAATATATTTTGTTTTGTTTTCACTAAAAGTAGGGTTTCACGCACTGTGATGCAGTTTTTTGGCTGGGGAGTATTTCCCTTCATCCCTCCTCCAAAGTATTCCGCACTTATTATTTGATAAGTCAAAAATGATCTATTGCCCACAGTCTTTGTCTGTACTGGAAAATGGTCTGTATGTAAGTATTCTTGCCAATCTGTATAAGAACAACAAAATTTTTTCTTGATTTCTTCAAGTCAATTCAAATTTCAGCAAGATTAGCTATTGTGACAGTGGAATTGTTGTTCCACCCTCAAAGGCACAAACCAAGACTATGTTTGCTGTCCAAACTCCAAAATTTACCCTCACCTTGGCCTGAATGATGCCAGAAAACACTTCAGAAATGATCTAAGCATTCATTTAAGGATAGGCTCTAGCCCTGACAGGATCTACCCAGAGCTGGTAGTGACAGCAGGTTCTTTTGCTGCTCATTTTCTTCCTCTTCCTCTTCCTTCTCCTCCTCTTCCCTCTTCATCCTCCTGTGAGCTCAGGACTAGCACTCTGCCACTTGAGTCACAGCTCTACTTCTGGCTTTTTGGTAGTTAATTGGAGATAAGGGTTCCACCAACTTTCCTGTTGCACTGACTTCAAACTGCCATGCTCAGATTCCAGCCCCCTGAGTAGTGAGGATTACACGCATAAGCAACTGGCCTCTGCCTCCCAAATCCTTTTCTGGGGTGTTAGATCAGAGGTATCCCATGACACTTGCAAAACAGGGCTCCTCCTGGAGTTTTAACAGTTTCACTGGATAAAGGTTTTGATGTCAAAGCAGGACTTAGTGATGGGCTGAAGTTGAGGAAGATCCTGTTCTCTGGCTGTAAGCTTAAAGGCTACTCTCTCTTTTACTCAATTCTAAGAAAATCTTGTGGGTTTAAATTTTCTGTGATTACAATTACATCTGCATATGATGCGATTGCATATATTTTCCAGCTAATAAGAATCTACATGTGTAAATATAAAATTCATTTTAAAATATGCTTACCTCTATCCCCGTTATTTCCTTTGGTATCTTCAATAGAATCTAAACAATCAATGAGGACTTCTCCAGGTCTTGTTTTCATTTGTCTAAAACAAGTACAAAAGTGTTCATGTTATAACTGAACTCCATCTGCTTAGGATCTACTTAGGGATGAGAAGAGACCTATGCATACAAATAGCTCACAGTATAAATTATACAGTAACGAGTGCTCAGGCATTTGCAAAAAGTGAATCAAGAACTCCGAGGTTGTTGGGAGGCATGGTTCAAATGGTAGGGGGCCTATCTCACAAGCTCATGCCCCGGGCTGCACACACACACACACACACACACACACACACACACACACAAGCCCCCCCCCAAAAAAAAAACGGAGATCCCAGCCCCAGTTCACTTGGTTGTCAAATGGTAGGGGGCCTATCTCACAAGCTCATGCTAAACACACACACACACACACACACACACACACACACACACACACACACACACACACACACACACACACACACACACACACACACACACACACACCCAAACACACACAGACAGACACACACACACACAGAGCCCCAGTTCACTCGGTTGTCAGAACGTTCCAGCGCCGGGTGGTCCACCATCCTGAAGGCTCCTCAGGGTGGGCCAGGGCCGGGGATGGCGGGACGGAGCTGGGGCCCGGCCGCGAACCCGCGGAGGCCCGGCCGGCCCGCGCCCCGCGCCGCCCACAGCCCGTGTCAACCTCTCCCCCCGCGCCAGCATGCCCGCCACCGGCCCCGGGCCCCGGGGGAAGCTCGGAGACTCACTGCGAGTATAAGTCGAAGCGGACCTCGCGGTCCTCCCAGAGCACGTCCAGCAACGACATGACGGCCCGGGCCCCGCGGCCTCCACGGCGGAGGAGGCCTTGAGCGTCTCCCTGACTCCACGGCAACAGGCTCCCTACACGACGTCTACGGCGGGCGACCAGACCCAAACTTCCTGCGGGGAGCGCGCACGCGTTCTCCTACGTTAGCGAGTCGTTAAATGGATTTGTGGCTGGAGGTGCGGGCTGCCTCTTGGCCTCCAAACTGACCTCCTCTAGCCATTCCACCCCTCCCGCTGTTCTTCTACCACCTCAGGAAACTTAGACTTAAAGCTCTATTTAAAGAACAACAACAACAAAAGAAACCAAACTAAAAACAAAACAAAACAGCCCAGCTGGCACCATTGGCTCCTGCCTGGAATCATAGGTACTCAGAGATCTGGCTGAGATCTGAGGTTAGAAGCCAGCCAGGGCAGGAAAGTCTGTGAGACTCTTATCTCCAATAAACTATCAGAAAAAGCCAAAGTGGAGTTGTGGCTCTAGCGCTAGAGCACTAGTCTGAAGCAAAAGAAGCTCACAGACAGCGTCCAGGCCTAGAGTTCATGCCCCAGGACCAGCAGAAAACAACACACAAACACACACAAAAACAACATCCTGGAGCCTGGGGTTACATGCCTGTAGGCTTAGCTAGTTAGGAGGCTGTGATCTGAGGATTGTGCTTCGAAGCCAACTCTCTCTTGAAAGTTCTAACCAGCAAAAAGCTGGAAGTGGAGCTGTGGCCCAAGTGGTAGAATGCCAGCCTTAAACACAAAAAGTCAGGGCCAGCGCCCAGGCCCTGAGTTCGAGCCCCAGAATCAGCCCAGAACAACAAAACAAAACAGATCCTGCTTGATCCGCTAATCTGGCTCTGGACCTTGGGCAGTCTCTCTTCCCCAGGCCCTTCTCCTTCTGGCTGGACTCCAGCCAGATACCCTTGAGCCTTTGCAGGACTGGCTTCCCTGTGTGGGTTGCAGTGTTCCCAGATTCTGCATGGCCGATCCTTTGTCAATGAGGTCTCAGTCCACCTGTCAGCACTGAGCAAACTAAACTAGGCACAGACATTTGGTGTATCTAGTGAACAATATCATGCACACAGTAGGCACCCAATAAACATGTTCACTTACTATGAATCAAGGCGCCTTCCTTTCTTTCATTCATTACAATTCTTTAAATCAAGGGCTCAGACAGTGGTCTGTGGGTCCCTGTGTTCTTCAGTGGATGGAATGCTCAGTGGTTTCCACTGTTTCCAAAGACTACAAGATGCATCATTGAATGTGGAAGTGAATATAAAATTCTGGCTTTTTCATTTTGTTTTATTTTCTTTTTCCAGTACTGGGGCTGGAACTCAGGGCCTGGAGGCTGCCTCTCAGCTCTTTTTATCTCAAGGATGGCACTCTACCACTTGAGCCACCACACCACTTCCAGACTTTTCTGTTTATGTAGTACTGAGGAATGGAACCCAGGGCCTCATGCATTCAATGCAAGCACTCTACCACTGAGCCACCTTCCCAGCTCCAATTCTTTTTTTTTTTTTGTCAGTCCTGGGGCTTGAACTCTGGGCCTGGGTGTTGCCCTTCAGCTCTTCAGCTCAAGGTTAGTGCTCTACCACTTGAGCCACACCACCACTTCTGTTTTTTTGGTGGTTAATTGGAGATAAGAGTCTTATAGCCTTTCCTGCCCCAGCTGGCTTTGAACTGTGATCCTCAGATCTCAGCCTCCTGAGTAGCTAAGACGTGAGCCACTGGCACTGGGCTTATGACAAATCTTTAAACCAGGGACTCACTGAGAGTGAGGATCCCTGTGTGTATTCAGTGGATGGAATGTTCAGTGGTTTCCACTGTTTCCAAAGACTTACATGATGCATTATTGAATGTGGAAGTGAATATAAAAATCTGGCTTTTTTTTTTTTTGAGCCACAGCTCTACTTCAGCTTTTTTGTGGTTAATTGCAGAAAATAAAATGTTTTATAAATGTTCTTCATAATTATTCTCATCCTGAATATTCTTTATAATTATCCTTATCTTTGTCATTATCAAGGCAGATTACTCCAGCATTCCAGCCTTCCATCTCCCTATTTTACCAACGGCCAAGTACCCAACTAGGAACTCAGAGAATGTACTTTTCTTTTTGTTTTTCTCTGCCTGGATCCTCCCCATCTAAAACTCTCAGCCTCTCAGGTTATATGCCTAGATTTATATTTATACTGTTGTAATCCAATCAGGAAGAAAACAAAGGATGCCAGAATTAATAAACCAAATTATAGACCTCTTTATTGCAAATATTAGTGGCAAAGACTGAGATATAGGCTTCCCAAATCATGCAGCCCTGAGACAGGTCAGAGACAGTCTTTTCAAGGGGAATGAACACACCTTTTTGATAAGCAAGTAAGGTATTTTGTTTTGTGAAGCACATACAGAAGCATTATTAGTCAATTTAGACTTATTTCCCAGAATACTGGAATGGAACAATTTTGGGGGTTTTCATAAAACCTCGCTGAGCAAACAACTTGCAGTTTTTCCACAGAATCCACTGAACAACAGCTCTGGGGGTCAGGTGCTTTTTTTCCTTTGGGGGACAAAATGGCGTTACTTCCGCCAGGCTTCAGGCTTAAGGGCATAACCTACTTCAATAGTACTAACCTAGCCTCCATTAGGAAAATGGGCAGGCTTTAAGTTCAATTTCACTTATAAAATGAAAGTATTTCTATAGTGGCCAACCTACCAAAACTAAGTACAGTCATTTATATATTCTGCACAGACGGTGGTGTTAATTTCAGGCAGGTTACAGCACTGCTCCAATGTATCCTCTATCGAAAACAAAAAACAGGAAGTGGAGCTGTGGCTCAAGCGGTAGAGCACTCGCCTTGAGCTGAAGAGCTCAGGGACAGCACCCAAACCCAGAGTTCAAGCCCCATGACCAACCAAAAAAAAAGAAAACAAAAAACAAGGAGCTAGGTGCTGGTGGCTCATGCCTATATTCCTAACTACTTAGGAGGCTAAGATCTGAGGATTGTATTTTGAAATCATTCCAGGTGAAGTCCTAATTAACCAGCAAAAATCTTAAAGTGGGGTTGTGCCTCAAATGGTAGAAAAAGCCAAATGAGAGCTCAAACCTGAGTTCAAACTTCAATACATAGTAAAAGCAAGGAAAATATCTGGAATTATGTATATCTTATTACTAATCATTTTGCAAAACATTTTTCTATCCTTAGGTTTCAATTTCAACAAATCAGTCTTTTCTTTCTTTCTTTTTTTATTTTTCTTTTTCCAGTCCCGGGGCCTTGGCACTGTCTCTGAGCTTCTTTTGCTCAAGGCTAGCACTTGAACTATAGCACCACTTCTAGCTTTTTCTGTTTATGTGGTGCTGAGGGATTGAACCTAGGCCTTCATGCATGCCAGGAAAGCACTCTACCACTCTACCACTAAGCCACATTCCCAGCCTTCAATCAGTTAATAAGTAAAAATGCATCTGTGTGTGTGTGTGTGTGTGTGTGTGTGTTTGTGCGCGCACACATGCCAGTCCTGGGGCTTGAACTTAGGTCCTAGGTGCAATCTCTGAAATCTTTTGCTCAAGGTTAGCACTCTCAGCCTCTTGAGTAGTTAGGATTATAGGTGTGAGCCACTGGAATCCAGCATAAAATGCTTCTTTTTTGTCACTCCTTCCTTTGTTTTCCTTCATCTTTTTTGTCACCTCTTCCTTTGTTCTCCTCCATCTCTCCTCCATTTCTCTCCATCTCCTCTTTCTCCTCCCCCATCCATACCTTCAAGTTATGTGGTTCCATTTTTACATATGGACATTGACTATGAGTGTTATTAGCTCATCTTTCCTCTTTCATCTGTCTGCCATCCTTTTTCCAACCCCTCCCCTGGCTAAACTACAATAATTTTAACTTGTATCTCCAGAAAAGATTTATTATGGTCCCTGTTATATTAATAGAGTGATATTAACACTACATAGCAACACATTTAGAAGATTATTATTTTGTCTTGCAATAAGATTTGTACACTCCATTTGAGCTTTAATGTTCAATGGACTGATAAAAATGCAGCTCCTTACAGTATAAAACATAAGCATTATGAATGGAATGCATTACTGTTCTTTCATGCAACTAGAAAAAAACAAACTATCTGATGATGTTAGAACTGTTTCCAGTACATTAACCATCAGGTTAAGTTTTAAATATTAGGAATGTTGAAGAAAGAATAAAAATGTCTATTTCTTGGGATTTCTGCTGGTTATAACAAAGCTTAAGCAAATCCCTTTTGTAAGCTGTAATATGATCTGTATTCACAAAAGCCTGAAATTTGAAAACTGCTTTTTAGAAAGCTGTTAAACTTTTAAGACAGCTGGACACTGGTAGCTCACTCCTATAATCCTTTCTATTTGAGGATCTCTGTTAGAAGCAAGCCAAGGAAGACAAATTTGAGACACTTTATTTCCTTAACCACCACAAAGTTGGGGGTGGAGCTGTAGTTCAAGTGGTAGAACACCAACCTTGAGTAAAAAAGGCAAGTGAGAGAATGTGAGGTCTGAGTTCAAGCCTCTATACTGGCACTCACACACACACACACACAAATATACACACACACACACTCACAAGTTAACTTTAGAACACTCACATTGTGACTAGCAGGAGAGAGCCAAGTAGCCTTGAGGGGGGCTGAAGTAGGTAAGGCAATCTCAACAACATGGCAGGAGGTCCTTTGAATGGCGTGTACAGTAGACTTTGATTTGAAAGTTTCTGGAGGATTATGATGTCAACCCTATTCATCTCAAGAAATTTTAAGTTGGACCAGCAGCATGGCTCAAGCAGTAAAGCACCTGTCTAGCAAGTTCAAGGCCCTCAGTACAACTAAAAAAAAAAAAAAAAAATTCAGCTGGGCGCCAGTGGCTCACACCTGTAATCCTAGCTACTCAGGAGGCTGAGATCTGAGGATCGTGGTTCAAAACCAGCTGGGACAGGAAAGTCTGTGAGACTCTTATCTCCAATAAACACCAGAAAACCAGAAGTGGCACTGTGGCTGAAGTAGTAGAGTGCATTTCCTTGAGCTGAAGAGCACAGGGATAGTGTCCAGGCACAGAGTTTAAGCCC